GCCCCCGCCGAGCACATGGCTCTGCCCAAAAATGGAGGACCCAGGGCAAGATGGAGGGCGCAGTCCTCGCCCCCCCAAGGGCGAGCTGAGCCCGGGCTCCAGGGGCCAGTCCGGTTGCCGGGGGTCCAGCAGATCGACCAGTTCCAGCCCAGACAGGAAGTCCACATCCTCCGTCTCATCCCCGGGGGCGCCAGCGATCACCTCCTCCTCCATCTCCTCGGGCAAGGGCACATGCCCCGCCCCGCCGCCGCCGCTGCCGCGTGGGTCCAGTCCGGGGGTGGCGGGCGGGTGGCCTGCACCAGGCTCCCGCCGCCGTGGGCTGGGGAGTCGGTGCCCGAGGCCGCCAGCAGTGTGGTCAGGCTGTGCCTCCTGGGGCCCGGCAGCCAGCCCATGTAGGCCCCGCGATGACTCGCCCTTTCAACACCTACTATTCTAATATTGTTATGTTTCACTTTGTCCCACAGCTCCCTTAAGCTGTCCTCCTGTTTTTTCTTTTTGGTTCTCTAATTGAGTGGTATTTTCAACTCTGTCTTCTAATTCACTGATTCGATTCTCAGCTTTCCCTAATCTGCTGTGTATTCCTTCCAATGTATTCTTTATTTGTGTTATGTCATTCTTTATCTCAGACTGTTCTTTTTTCATAGTTACTATATCTTTTTTTTATACTGTTGAGCATTTTTAACATCATTACTCTGAACTCTGTTACAGATAAATTTCTTATCTCTGCTTCATTTATCTCTTCTTCTGGAGAATTCCCTAGTTCTTTCATTTGGGGGTTGTTCGTTCCTCATTTTGGTTGTCTGGGTTTGTAACTGTGTACTAGGTAGATCCTCTACACCTCTCAATCTCTAGTGCAGGACAGTGTTAACGGCTATTTCTGACTAATTATATCAGACAAAGATTCAAAGTCTCCATAGACCGCCTCTGTCCACAGACTAATAGGATTCTGACTTGAATTGCCCCCAGGCAATCATCCTCAGGTATGACGAGAATTTTTTCAACAGGGTGGGGCAGTTGCTTCTGCCTGGAGGTTAATTGTTACTTTTAATCTCTTAAGTGGCCTCAGGGCAAGATGTTTTTCAATAGGGTGTGTCACTGTCTTCCCCCTAGGTAAGGCAGATGTCTATGTGGGAAAGATGTCCCCTGCTGCTTTTCACAGCTAGATGTTATGTGGGTAGCTTTCTCAGAGTTGGTGCTCTCTGCCGGGGAGCCCAGCTTCGGGATTAGATCCCAGGCACCCCTCCACAGCTGAGATATCTCTCCGGGACTTAAGTTGCCGTCTGTGGGTGCTTGGCTAGCCCTTTTGTGCCTCTGTGCCTCTTACCAGTCTCTATGCGGTCTCCACCTTCGGTCCTTGGGTATCAGAGTTCTCTCCTGTGAGTTTTCCATTGATTATTCAGGAAGCCTTTCCATATTTCAGTTGTAATTCCAGCTTGTTCCTGGGAGCATGTCCATGCAGCATCCTCCTACTCTGCCTCCATTTTTAATCTCTCTCTGCGTCATTCTTTTTTATTGCTGAATTTATTTATCCACTCATCAGTTGATGGACATTTGAATTCTTTCTACTTTTGGGCTATTATAAATAACTAGGAGCCCAGCACACGATTAGAAATCGCGTGGCTGCCCACCCTCTGGTTGGGCCCTGCCTCCCTCTCCAACCCTTTTTTTTTTTTTTTTTTTCCCTCTCCAACCCTTGAAGCAGCTGCAGCTGCTGCTGATCAGGCCCTCCCCCAGTGCAGGTGTGCGGAGGCTCCTGCTGCCCCGCCCCTGATACTGCACGTGCAAGCTCCTGTCCGGTCGACCCATTATGGTGTCATGGTTAATTAGCATATTTCTCTATTTTATATATATCCTATCTAATAGTAGACAAACATGGTAATTAATCGTATCTCCGACACGCTTTCCATTGGCTAATCAGGGCGATATGCAAATTAACTGCCAACCAAGATGGCAGCCAGCAGTCAGGCAGCTGAAGTGAGCAGGAGGCTTGCTTGCTCCAGTGATGGAGGAAGCGAAGGTTCCCCGCCTGCCGCTGCCGGCCTCTGAGCTGCACTCTAAGGAACAATGTTGCAATTATAGAAGCTAAACATACCCCAGAAACCTGCTTTCAGCCAGCCGGCCTCGGAGCTGGAGCTGCAACAGTGTTTCAATTATAGAAGCCAAACAAACCCAGATACCTGCTTTCAGCAGCTGAGGTCTCAGAGCTGGAGCCGAGCCTCAGAGCTAAAGTCGGCTCTCAGTTCCAGTGACAGCCATAGAAGGTAAATAAATCCCAGAATAAAAGAAAAAAGAAAAAAAAGGAGAGGTTGGGAGCTTCAGTCACCCGCCAGCCTGAAAACGGCCCTCAGCCCCTCACCCAGACTGGCCAGGTACCCCAGCGGGGACCCCCACCCTGAAGGGGCTGTGGCCAGCCTGAAAATGGCCCTCAGCCCCTCACCTAGGCTGGCCAGGCACCCCAGCAGGACCCCCACCCTGATCCGGGACACCCTTTAGGGCAAACCAGCCGGCCCCCACCCATGCACCAGGCCTCTATCCTATATAATAAAAGGGTAATATGCAAACTGACCCTAACAGCAGAATGACTGGTCACTATGACACACACTGACCACCAGGGGGCAGACACAATGCAGGAGCTGCCCCCTGGTGGTCAGTGTGCTCCCACAGGGGGAGCTCTGCTCAGCCACAAGCCAGGCTGACGGCTGCCAGTACAGCGGTGGTGGTGGGAGCCTCTCCCGTCTCCTTAGCAGCGCTAAGGATGTCCGACTGCAGCTTAGGCCTGCTCCCCGCTGGCAAGTGGGCATCCCCCGAGGGCTCCCGGGCTGCCAGAGGGATGTCTGACTGCCAGTTTAGACCCAATCCCCCGGGGAGTGGGCCTAAGCCAGCAGGTGGTTATCCCCCGAGGGGTCCCAGACTGCAAGAGGGCACAGGCTGGGCTGAGGGACCCCCCCCCCACCCCCAGTGCACAAATTTTTGTGAACCGGGCCTCTAGTTTTATTTATTTATATATATATATATATATATATATATATATATATATATATATATGTATATATTGCTGCTGTGAGTGTTCATATACAAGATTTTATGGGCCTATATTTTTATTTCTTTTGAAGAGATTATATACCTAGGAGTGAATCTGTTAACTGAAAGTTCCATTGTCATTCTATTTTTAATTTATATCAATTTGAAAAGATCTTAGAATCCAGTGGGCCTATCATTTTGTTCTACTTTAAAGAAAGGGATGAGCTGTAACCGGTTTGGCTCAGTGGATAGAGCGTCAGCCTGCGGACTGAAAGGTCCCAGGTTCAACTCTGGTCAAGAGCATGTACCTTGGTTGCAGGCACATCCCCAGTAGGGGGTGTGTGCAGGAGGCAGCTGATCAATGTTTCTCTCTTATCGATGTTTCTAACTCTCTATCCCTCTTCCTTCCTCTCTGTAAAAAAAAAAAAAGAAAAAAGGGGTAAAAAAAGGATTTTGATATTGATTGTTTGATATCACTAGTAGGTAGATAATCTAATCATTCTGTTTCACCATTAACACATTGAATGATACTAGCCATAAATTGAAGCTTTTATTACTGAACAAAACTTTTAATCAGTATGTGAAGACCTGGGATTTCTGCTGTAAATGCAGTGAATTAGTGAGGGTTTGGTTGCTGTTACTAGAAGAAAACTGTAGAGGTCAGTGAAGTACATTAGAGAAATAGTACCATATAGCTTCTTTTTTTTTCCCTCCAAAGTTTTAAATTCACTTCTAAGAGTTTGTCCCAAACTCTTTGTAGGCTCTTATGAATTCAAAGTTTCCACATTTATACTTTATCCTCCAGGGACCAAACTGCCACTTTTATTGACATGTATAATTAAAAAAAACTTTAACAAAGCACTTAATATGTGTCAGGCACTGTTGTAAGTTAATTTTAAAAGAATTAACATGAATTAGGTGCTATCATTATCTGCATTTTTATATGAAGGAACTGAGGTGCAGAGATATTTAAAAAATTTGCCCTCCTTATAAAACAAATAAATTTCTAAGTCACACTTCAAACCCAGGCTGTCTGATCAAGAGACCATACTGTGAACCCTGGCTGGTGTAACTCGGTTGGGCATCTTCCCATGCACCGAAAGGTCTCTGGTTCGATTCTCAGTCTGGGCACATGTCCAATATTCGGGCTCAATCCCTAATAGGAGGCAGCCCATCTATGTTTCTCTCACATCGATGTTTCTCTATCTCTCTCCCTTCCTCTTTCTCAAAAAAGAAAAAAAAGTCAATAAAATAAAGTATTAAAGAGTATTATAGAGAAATAGAGTACAAATTGTGAAACAATTCTCTGTACTGCCTCTCAAGTATTATGCAAATATAAGATATTACTTGCAATTATTACAGTTAATTAAAGCTTTTGTTTATACAGATAGTAATCAGATTTCTGCTGAATTCTCAGAACCTACATTAGAGTAAATATAAATATTTTAAGGAGTGGAGAAATGAGAAGAAATCCTCATGTTCCCACCTAAGGACTGGGGTTCTGCTAATGACCAAGAATTCTGTCCATCTTTGTGCATCATGTGATTACTGGGAGAATAAGGGAATTTTGTTTTTATGTTAATCATAATTGAAGCCATAATACTTAATTGTTGGTTTGGTTAATTAGTTCTTTTTCCACCCCATCCTTCCATCCTGTCCCCATGGCAAGATGATTCATGGCAAAATTTAATTAAAAGTAATATTATTTTTAATTTTTGCAACAATTGAAGGGGTTCTAAGACCATATAAGATCAATGTTGGGAGTCTCTTTGGGTCTAGGTTTTTTTCTCCTTGCTTTAGGAAGAAAAGTGGGGTGGAGTATTGTGAATTGGTTTGCCTTAAAAAGTATCCTTAAGAGTAAACATGTGGAAGAATACTTGCATCCTCTGTATGATTTTGATTGTTTTAGTTGAATGGGAATGAGTTATGGGAAATTAAAAGATAGTGGAGAGATCTGACTGGTTATTCCTTCATTCTAGAGTTGGGTCAAATAACTGTGTTGATGGCCATGCAGGAAAAATATCCAAGTGAGAGAAACTCTCATCCCACTTCACCAGGTGAGTAGTCAAAGTTTTCTGGGTAAATTCTGACCTTTGCGCTGTTATTTTGTAACAGAAATTTTCTTTAAAGGACAAACTGAGTAAGCAAATATTTGCTGAAATGCTGGTATTAATATTTAATTGTTGTTTTTGTTATTGAGTTCAATAACATGGGACTATATTGAAAGGAAAAAGAGGTCTCTCCAAGACTATTTATGTCTGGTCGTACAGCGCTTACAACAAGACCACGTGATTGATTGAGACAGGAGGACACATAAAGGATTGGAACAGAATGACTTTGGAACATAGTGCTATTTGAAATCAGAAAAACACAGCATAAATTACTGTGCTCTATGTTGTCTTTGTAGTTTTGTGAGTGGGTCAGTCATCTGCTAGCCCACAAAGATTGGAATTCTTCTTGAATGCCAACAGTCTCAGTTGTATTGTCACAGGAGACTCGGGAATTTGTCTCTAGAATGGATTGACAAGATTTTGAAAACTCAGATATACTAAAAGGATGTATTAAGTATATATATTAAACCTATATAAATATATACACACAATACACATTAACTAGATATGGTACATTTAATTAGGAAGTAGCATTCCAAAAATAACTTTTTGAATTCTGTGGTATTTATGAAGAAAAGGATACATTTCCTTCAATTAAGGGTATGTCTTATTTTATTTAATTTTAAAATCCCACGGTGCCTCAAAGCAGACATTTGGTAGATAGTTGTTCTGTTTGCCTAGGCATGCTGCCTTGCATATAGTAAGCACTTTGAAAAGCATTTGCTGAATCAATTTAAGATTCATTCAGCATCTATTTGAACATCCTTATGTGCCGTTCACTGTCTTAGACTGGATTGTACAATCTGTAATAATAAAAGGGTAATATGCTAATTAAACCGGATGTCATTCTGGACCAAGCCAGGGCGGAGCAAAGGCCCGGTCCTGGGTGCCTGCCAGCAGCCATAAGAAGCCCAGGTCCTGGGTGCCAGAGGGAAGCTGGTGCCGGGGGAAGGAAGGCCTACTCTTTTTTTTTTTTTTTAATATATTTTATTGATTTTTTACAGAGAGGAAGGGAGAGGGATAGAGAGTTAGAAACATCGATGAAAGAGAAACATCAATCAGCTGCCTCCTGCACGCCTCCTACTGGGGATGTACCTGCAGCCAAGGTACATGCCCTTGACCGGAATCGAACCTGGGACCCTTGAGTCCACAGGCCAACATTCTATCCACTGAGCCAAACCAGTTAGGGCAGGAAGGCCTACTCTTGCACGAATTTCGTGCATTGGGCCTCTAGTTTCTTATAACAATTGTGTGTATAATGCAAGTTTTTGGAATGTAGCAATTCCTGAGAAAGCTCAACTTCTTTTTATGGTTTTGTCTTCAATAGTTTTTCATTTCATTAATAATGGTTAAAGTTTGATAAGGATGCTACTGATAGTATGTGATATGACACAAGAAAACTTCAGCTTTCAAACTTTAATTTTGAAATAAGCATAAGCCTCTATACACCAAACATACTTTTATTTTAGCAAATATGTCTTTAGAATTGATATATGGAGTGGGTGCATGAGAAAAGTGGTTAGTGGTGAGGAATGGAAGATTAGTAAAGGTAATAACAGAGAGTGGTTTCTAGTAGGAGGCCAGGAACATGGTAATACAGGTCCTCAATCAATTTTTACTATTTCAAAAGGCCTGGTAAACTACACTGACTAGAGAGGTAACACTATATAGACTGACCAAGAGGTCAAATTTCTTTGCTTCTGGCTAGTATTACACTAATTTAGTATAGTTAACACTGGCTAATCTTACGCTGATCAGAAGATCTGATTGTTGGTTATGTCTTTTATTAAAGATTATTACATGCCCTGACCATTGTGGTTGGAGCGTCATCCAGTACACCAAAAGGTAGCGGGTTCGATTCTAGATCAGTGCACATGTCTCAGTTGTGGGTTCTATCCCCAGTTGGGACATGTACGGGGAGCAACCAATTAATGTTTCTCACATTCATGTTTCTCTCTCTCCCCCTTCCTCTCTCTAAAAAAATAAATATTAATGAAAGACTTTCATTTAAAAAAAAGATTACTACAGATTACTGCATGTATATAGATTCTTTCAAATCAGACAGTTCACTGTGACCCAAAGGATAAAAGGAGTCTTTAGGTAAAATTAGGGTTCCTTCAGTAGAATGCAGAAGTAATGGTAGCTCAAAAAGGAACAAAAGTAGAAGGAATTAGGTGGCTTGGAAGAAGGGAATAAGATGATTGTGTTCAAATATTATTGGCTTCACACTAGATCAGAGAATCTGTAGAACCATATTTTCTGATTTCATCTTAAACTCTGATACTTCAATCAATTAAGTGAAAACACATGAATTAAATAACTGCCATTACCTTTTTTTTGTTTGTTTTTTGTTGTTTTTGCTTTTTTCTGTTTGTTTTTTTACATGGGTCATCAGTTACAATTTAGAAAAATTATAGTGGTTTTAAAAAAAATAATTTGAGCCCTGGCCGGGTAGTCAGTTGGTTAGAGCATTGTCCTGATATGCCAAGGTTGCGGTTCAATTCCCAGTCAAGGCACATACAAGAATCAACAAATGAATGCATAACTAAGTAGGACAACAAATCTGTTTCTCTCTCAAATCAATAAATAAAATTTTTTTAAAATAAATAATTTGAATTTAAATCTTTGATAGTAAAGTCAAATAAATTTCATCAATCTTATATCTTACCCACTCAGAAACTTTGTTTGTTTGGTTGGTTGGTTTGGGGTGTTTGTTTGTTTTTGCATTGCTCTCAAAAGCTCTTCAGGTTGACTTTTAAGACTCACCTTGATCTGGATTCACCCTACTCATGAGGGCACTGTGGTTCAGTCAAACAGTGGTTTTCCTATTACCATAGGGAGCATTTGGAAACGTACAGGGTAGTTTCAGGTTGCACAATGATGGAAGGATGGGTGGGCTACTCCTGGCATTTAGTGGATGGGGACCAGGAATGCTAAATCATCCTTTATACATTGTCTTGCCCAGAAGGCTAACAGCACCTGTTGATAAACCTTGTAAGAAGGAAGAATGTGGGTATTGGGATTAGAATAACCTAGGTTCCAATCTCAGTTCTATCCTCTGTAAAATAGGGGTGTTAATATGATAATACTTTTCAGTAAATAGGTAGATGAGATCGTGTTTATAAAGTGCTGTGGCTTCTAGATTTCAGAAATGGTAGCTACTATCAAATATTATTGTTTTCTGTCTCAGTACTCCTGGATTCCTGGTAGGTCTTGATTCTGTCTTTGAACATTCTCACCTCTCATGCTATTTCCATTTAAAATTAACAAACTCAGAGTTGCTGAAATAGGCACAGGAGAGAGAAGGGGGTGGGATGCTGCTATTTCTCACAAGTTTAAGTGATTTTTTAAAAAATATATATTTTATTGATTTTTTACATAGAGGAAGGGAGAAGAATAGAGAGTTAGAAACATCGACCAGCTGCCTCCTGCACACCCCCTACTGGGGATGTGCCCGCAACCAAGGTACATGCCCTTGACCGGAATCGAACCTGGGACCCTTCAGTCCGAAGGCTGACGCTCTATCCACTGAGCCAAACCAGTTAGGGCTTAAGTGATTTTTTAAAAAGAGTCTTGTGGGGTTGCATCAGCTGGTTCACTCTAAAGGTAGAAATGCTACTTGTTTCAGGTTCCATTGTAATTAAGAAAAGCAGTTCTCTGGGTTGTGAATGGCAGACTCCAGTTATCTCGGAGGCCTTTCGGAGCCGCTTCAGCCGTTGTTCCAGTGTTACTGACAGTGGGGACACAGCCATTGGCACATCATGCTCAGACATGACAGAGGGTAAGTTTGGATTAATAATTTGATTACCAATATGTGTTGTCACTTTCAGGTTGTATGCCAGGTGTATTGTCGTTTCCAGAACATTCATAAGTCAGTCCACTAAGTCTGCCTGATACTTCTTATTCCATGCTTCCCACAGCTGGTCCCTTCTCTCAATTTCTACTGTTTGTCCTATCGCAAACAACGTCTAATCTTTCCTCTACTGCCAGATTAATCTTTCTAAAAACCTGATTTCATAGTTTCCTTTTTCTGCAATCCTCACTTGTTTCCATTATTTACAGGATAAAATTCAGAGGCTTCAGTTCTCTTATGATCTGGCCCTGTCCCACCTGTCTTTTTGTTGTTTGTTTGGGTTTTGTTTTGTTTTTGCTGCAAAAAGCCTTATTATTTCCATTTGGTCAATGCATGGGAGAGGGCTTTCAAGGTGGTTAAAAAAAATGGCTAATAGTTTTCGGGGAGAGGCTCAGGTAAAAGCCAGACTTCTCTAAATAAAAACAACATATCCCATATACTAAATTTTGAAAGACTTTGAAAATTGTGCAAGGTAGTGACCCTTTTAAAAATAAGTGCTGTCATTTTGTTTCGAAATGTTTTGAACCGCAAACCATACTTCAGGTCCAGCTTACTTTTTAGTATTTTGTAAGAATCAGGCAGTTTCCTTAATATAAATAAACAAACCCAATAGACAAGTGACAAATGCAGACAGACTTCACTTCTGTCATCCGTAGGTGGACCACACTCACCAGGAAATTAGAAAAACTATATTCTCCTGGGTCAGTTAGTACCTTTTGGGCTTTGGCATTACTACTTTGGGGGTTATGGGCTCAAAACTGAATTTGGTGAGTCTTGAGAGAGAGAGTGGTGCTGTGAATGGAGAATGGAATGAGGTGTTAACTAACTTCAACATATTAGCAGCCCTTCGTAGCAGTCCCTCTCTTCTGTTCCAAAATTACATTTTTGGAGCAGGAACTGTTAGTGAGAGTGCATACTATTATGCTGTTATGGGGGATTTTAAAAAATAATTTATTTTAGAGAAGAAGGGAGAGAGAGATAGAAACATCAATGATAAGAGAGAATCATTGACCGGCTGCCTCCTGCACGCCTCCCACCAAGAATCAAGCCTGCAATCCAGGCATGTGCCCTGACCAGGAATCGAACCATGACATCATAGATCAGGGTTCAACCACTGAGCCACACTGGATGGGTGTTATGGAGGATTTTAAGTAGAGAGCTTCCTAGTCTTGGAAGTCCTTTTTTTTAAAAAAAATAATTTAAACAATATTCACTATTGAAATGTTTCACAACCTACATACTATTTTATTTTTTTAATATGTTTTTTATTTATTTTTTTAGAGAAGAAAGGAGAGGGAGGGAGGGAGGGAGGGAGGGAGAGAGAGAGAGAGAGAGAGAGAGAGAGAGAGAGAGAGAGAGAGAGAGAGAAACATCGATGAGAAGCATTGATTGGCTGCCTTCTGCACTTCCCCTAGTGGGAATTGAGCCCACAATCTGAGCTTGTGCCCTGACTGGGATCGAACCAGTGATCTCCTGGTTCATGAGCCGAAGCTCAAACCTGAACCACACCGGCCAGGCTGGTCTTGGAAGTCTTCATCATCACCAGTCTACCTGTTGACTAGTCCTATATTTAAGTTGTGGGACATCAAAGACATCCTTTGACTGAAATGTCCTTCTCTCTTGGTCCTGAGAGACTAACGCATATTATATTTTATTGATTTATTTACAGAGAGGAAGGGAGAGGGATAGAGAGTTAGAAACATCGATGAGATAGAAACATCGATCAGCTGCCTCCCGCACACTCCCTACTGGGGATGTGCCCGCAACCAAGGTACATGCCCTTGACCGGAATCGAGCCTGGGACCCTTGAGTCCGCAGGCTGATGCTCTATCCACTGAGCCAAACAGGTTAGGGCATTGCCTGTGTTTTTAAAGAGCTGCTTACAAACTCATATGAGAAGATGGTCGCTCATCTGTACTCATATAATTCTAGGAAAGGTTATAGTATCTGTCCTTGGTAGCTGAGTGTGTTCTTTGTTGGTTGATGGAAAGAAAAAAAGAAACAGATTGGTAGTCCACTCTTACCATGGTAGATGCGCTTGGTTTAGAAAAGAGTACTGGGCATAATTGAAAAGGGAAGACATTTATATTCCTTTCCCCTTACTCAGTTTTCTGCCTGAGTAAGGTAACAGGTATGTTTTCTTTCTTGTTTTCTTGTAGCCACTACCCTGGCATATTAGTACTGTGACCTTGTAGTCTTCTTCAGAGTAGCACTTAAAAGTTGGAAATATGAACCTTCTATGGCAGGGCTAATAAGAATTGTCTTCCAAGAGTAGGAAGGAGCTAAAAGAAACATAAGTCCAGTCTGAGGGAAAAGGGAAAAAATCACAGTTGGATACAAAGGGGTAAGTGAAAGGCAAAATACAAGTTCGAGCATTTCAGTGTGTACCCACTTGAGAATGCTCACTGTGCGAGAATGAAACCTGAGAGTTACTAAGAATAACTTCACATATCCAGGCAGTCGCTTCTGGTGTGTGGGAGAAAGAACAGAATCTTGATTCGATGCTGTATTCCCTGCCTTGGATATAGAGCGGCACTGTCCAGTTTGCCTTATTCTTCAGATGGTTTAGACTCATTCCTCACCTTCACTGGGGAGCTTTTGGAGGTCACAGAGGATTCTTGCAGATCTTGGAAAGGGTATTTTTATTAGATTGGATTATAGCTTAGAGGTTCCCAGCTCCCAGAAGAATAGGACCTAATCCATTTCCCTTAAGTAAGTGATTGTTTTTTTAAGTTTCTTTTTCTTTTCTTTTTTTAATATGTTTTTATTGATTTCAGAGAGGAAGGGAGAGGGAGAGAGAGAGATAGAAACATCAGTGATGAGAGAGAATCATTGATCAGCTGCCTCCTGCATGCCCCCTACTGGGGATTGAGCCCACAACTCAGGCATGTGTCCGGAATCGAACCCGGGACCCTTCAGTCTGAAGGCCAATGCTCTATCCACTGAGCCAAACCAGCTAGGGCTAATTTTTTAAGTTCAGTTTTCAGCTTTGTTGACTGGCAAGATTTTCTATTAAAATACAAGGAATAGAGTATAAATTGAAAGTGAATCCAGTGTTGCCTTTTGTTGATTTACCTTGTGAATAGCATTTGAGAACCTAGAACACACATCTCCCAGTTAGGCTATCGTGTCTTTTTGCCTGATATTTGTGATGATAATGCCTCTCTCCTTGGTCTCAGGATAGGCAGAGAACATCAGACATAGCAGCTCAACTCCACAAACCTTGCTGCTTTGATTTTGACTTATGGAAGACTATTCTCTCCACAGATTTTTGCAGCTCAAATAGCAGTCCGTCTTTCCAGCCCATCAAAAGCCACGTGACCATTCCAACAGCCCATGTGATGCCTTCTACTTTAGGGACCTCTCCTGCCAAGCCAAATTCTACACCTGCCAGACCCTCTTCCTCCAAAATCCCTTTGTCAGGATTGGCTGAAAGTGTGGGGATGACAAGAAATGGAGACCTCGGTGGAATGAAACATTCTCCAGGCTTATCTAGAGATTTCATGTATCATTGTGGTACTGCTGGAGAAAATGGAATTGAGCGGTCTTGGTTTCCAGCCGTGGGCCATGAAAGAGAAGAAGAGATGAGGAAGTTTGATATTCCCAGTATGGAATCTACCCTTAATCAGTCAGCAGTGATGGAGACACTTTATTCAGATCCTCGCTACAGGGTCCACTTCCACAGCCTAAGAACCGACCCAAACAAGGAGTTATACAAAGGGTTGCCTGAGACCAAGAAGACCCCAGACAGTGGTGTGGTATGTGAGCGGAATGGACTACATCCTAGCAGCAGTGGGTTGCTCCCTTTGGGACTCCAGCCTGCTCCTGGGCTCTCCAAGCCTCTATCCTCTCAGGTGTGGCAGCCAAATTCTGACCCTTGGCATCCTCGAGAGCGGTCTTGTGAGCTCAGCACTTGTCGGCAGCATCTGGAATTGATTCGTTTACAGATGGAACAAATGCAGGTAGGTAGAGGGGCTTCTTTCCTTGGATTTTGGGGTTCGGTACAGATCTTTGAACTTGTATAGGTTGTGTCTTCTAAGTTTTGACTCTAAAGAAAACATCTGTAAGAAAGAGGGAAAATGTTTATAGATAAGAAATGAAGGCTTGTGGATGCCATTGAATCTGTTGGTGGTCTAATGAAACACCAGATAGGTTCTCCAAAGTAGAGGGTTACAAGAGAAGACCCAAAAAAGTCACTAGGCTAGGTACTTTTACTTACAGAATCTAATTAATCCTTATAGCATCTTGATGAGGTATATGTAGAAATTTACTAGGTTCTTAGAATAAGTAATTTGCCCAGGATCACACAGCTGGTTAAGTGACAGAGCTAGGGTTTAAAAATTGTCTTTGAACCCCTATGCTTTTTCCACTATACCTGTTTTATGTTTTTAAAAAAGTCCGTGTGCTACTTAAGAGTGGGAAGGAAAGAAGCTGAATATACTATTTTTTCCAAGTTGCTGAGGACATCTTAGCTCTTGGTTTGCTTCTGTTGCCAGATAATAAAAGATAACTGACCTTTTCTTAGAAACTAGAGCCTTTCTGAGCTGTGTCCAGTTGGCAGAAGTCTCCCTGGCAGGTTCTTTCCAGTCATGCATCAGAGCTAAAATTATTTCATAAACACTGGGCCTTCTTAGTCTGAGCCAAAATGAGCCTTGACTACAGACCCAGGATATTGCTCAGGTGTTTTCAGGTGCCTGTGGGTCAAGATCAAGCCCCTTTGGTCCTGCTTGTCTTTCAGCTTCAGAATGGAGCCACCTGCCACCATCCTGCTGCATTTGCTCCTTCACTGCCCATGTTAGAACCAGCACAGTTGGTCAGCATCTTGAACAGTAATGAACACCTTCTAAAGGAAAAGGAACTCCTCATTGACAAGTAAGAGAGCATAGGGTACCTACCATAGACCAGCTTCTGTTCTCAGCCGCCACTGAGGACACTTAATGAATTCTCCTCAAGGGCAGTACATTCCCCTCTGTTTATGTTTACTCCTTGCCTCATGATAGAGTTAGGTTGATAAGCAGCCTAGTCCTCTAGCTGACAAATGTGATAGACTAATTGTGTATCTGCAGGGGCTCTAGGAGTGCCTAAAGCAGGCAGCGGGTTCTTTGTAGCTGATCTTTCTTCATTTCCCCTCAGTCAGCTTTCTCATTTGTTCTCCTCCAGCAAAATAGTACTGCCCAGAATCTAAGGTCCTTGCTTATATAGCATCAATGTACCCATCTAAGGAAAGTGGGGGCTTATATTTGCAAGTTGATTAGTGTTAGAATCCTGGACCCTATTTTTCTGGCTTTTGCAGACAGAAGAAACACATCTCTCAGCTGGAGCAGAAAGTGCGAGAGAGTGAACTACAAGTCCACAGTGCCCTTTTGGGCCGCCCTGCCCCCTTTGGGGATGTCTGCTTGCTGAGGCTGCAGGTAAGCACTGGCAGTTGGGTTGGCATTCTGCTTGTCATAATTTAGTATCTTAGCTATGCTTGGCACTGTTAGGTATCCAGGAAATAGAAAAGAAACCAAGTGATGTAAGGTGTCCCTTCCCTCAAAGAGTAAACATCCTAATTTAAAGCATCTCTTGTCCTGCCCATGTGGGGGCAGAAAAGGCTTGAGGATAGAATCAGGTGGAAGTCCAGATGCTTTGGTGTCAGGATGGGAGAAAAGGAAGGCAGAGCAAGGTACATTGTAAGGTCCTAGAGTTGGGTGATGTTCTGAGGTCTTAATCTACCAGCCCTGGCCAATGGAAGGAGAGGCAGATATAACGGTGTATTTAGAGCCATTTTAATTTTTATCTTCCATGTCTAGGAACAACTGAAGGAAGCCATATCCTCACTGAGGTCAATGACTCTATAACAGCCATGGGCAAACTATGGCCCGCGGGCCGGATCCGGCCCATTTGAAATGAATAAAACTAAAAAAAAAAAAAAGACCATACCCTTTTATGTAATGATGTTTACTTTGAATTTATATTAGTTCACACAAACACTCCATCCATGCTTTTGTTCTGGCCCTCCGGTCCAGTTTAAGAACCCATCGTGGCCCTCGAGTCAAAAAGTTTGCCCACCCCTGCTCTAGAAAAAGCCAGCTTTGTTGGCTAAGAGTCTCTGCAATTTGGGCTTTTGAGTGATGGATATAGACAGATTATAGTACTGGTTTTGCCACCTAGTGGGCTTGTTAGACTGTTCCATCTTATAGAATCAAATCTATATATATATAAAAGCCTAAGCAACCATTACGCCCAAATGACTGGAACGACTGGTTGACCAGTCGCTATGAGAGCGAAGGAGGAGTGGGGGAGGCAGGGAACTGCACGGTGGTGGGGCGGAATCCATTCTTCCCACACCCGGCCTGGTGACCGTGGCCTCCTCTCCTGACTCTGCTGGGGCCTTCAGGCCCCGGGCTGGGACAGGGAACTGGGGGTAGGTGGCGGCGGACACAGCCCATTTCCCAGGGGGGCCGAGGGCTGGCTCCCTCCTTGGGCGCTGGCGACCAACCTCCCGTGGTCCCTCCCCCTAGCTAGCAGGCCCTGATCAGCCTGGCCCCAATCGGCCCTAATCACTGGCCAGGTCTAGGGACCCCACCCGTCCACGAATTCATGCACCGGCCTCTAGTTGTTAGATAAAATCTAGTTCAGTTCTCTAATTTACTGATGAAATAATTGGCCTTGAGCCCTTGGAGTCCAGGTCTTCTGGTGTCTTGTCCTGTGTTCCTTCTATGATACTATAACTCCTCAGGTATTGCTTTATGGCAGTGGTTCTGAAATATGAGTGTGCATCAGAATCACCTGGAGTGCTTTTCTAAAAAGATTTTTTAAATTGATCTTTAGAAAGAGAGAGGGAGAAACTGTGTGAGAGCGACATATAGATCGACTGCCTCCTGCATACCCCCTCCCAGGGATCGAGCCCACCACTCGGGTGTGTGTCCTGACCAGTAATCTAACTGGCAGCCTTTTGGGGCACGGGATGACACCCAACCGAGCCACTCCAGCCAGGGATCTGGAGGGCTTTTTAAAACATAGATTGTTAAGACCCAACCCCAGAGTTCCTGATTCAGTGGGTCTTGGAATTGGGCTCAAGAGTGTGCATTTCTAACAAATTCCCAGGTGATACTGATGCTGTTAGTCCTAGGATCACATTCTGAGAAGCACTGCTTGAAATTTTCAGAGAAAGATAATATTTGGCCATGAAGTCAGCTGGGATAAGTAAATTACATGGGACTGTAAGCGTAAGGAATAGGTATATTGAGACTCTTTCTGCAGGAATTGCAACGAGAGAACACTTTCTTACGTGCGCAGTTTGCGCAGAAGACAGAAGCCTTGAACAAGGAAAAGATCGAGCTTGAAAGGAAACTTTCTGCTTCAGAAGTTGAAGTCCAACTCATCAGAGAGTCTCTCAGAGTGGCGTTGCAGAAGCATTCAGAGGAGGGGAAGAAACAGGAAGATAGGGTGAGCTAAGGAGCTAATAGCTCTCTAATTCACAAAGGAGTTGACAGTCACCCTTCTCCTGCCAAACTCTAAACTGTTTCTGGCCCCATTCTTGGAACCAGGGGAAGCCAGCCAATTGGGTCAGACCCTGCATTGACTTCTCATGCAGGACTGGTCTGCTAGAAATGGAGCTCCTTCTTTCTTTCATCTCCACAAAACTACCACAGTATAAGCCCTCACTGCCCCAGGTTGTGATGGGCCACCAGGTGACGTAGGTGGAAAACCGGCCTGAGCAGTCATACCAGATGGTACCATTGCATGATATTTAAATATCTATGGTAAATTTGCACCATTCAGCCTGGTTTCTCTTCACTCTACCTAAAAAGGAGAAGAATTCCATGTGTGCAGCCAGCTTGGGAGTTTTTACAGTTTTGCTATTGCTCTTAGAATTGTCTTTGAATGAGCTTGGTTGTCATAGAAGGAGCTGATTTAAAATCTTTTTTTTTCCCTCTCTTTTTTTTTTTTTTTTTAAGAGAGAGAGAGAGAGTGGAAGGGAAAGGGGGAGAGAGGGAGAGAGAAACATCAATGTGAGAGAAACACATTGATTTGTTGCCTCCCACACAGGCTGGGGAGCCAACCCAGGTACTTGCCCTTGACCAGGAATTGAACCCACGACCTCCGGTGCATGGGCCTGCGCTCTAACCACTGAGAAACACAGCCAGGGCTGATTTAAAATCTTTTGGTTCTATTCACAGCTTTCTCTAATGCAGATGTTCTGGGGGTGGGGGCAGTTTAGTTCTGGACCATCTACATCAAAATCAACTAGAGCAGTGCTTAAACTTTAAACTTTAATGTGCTTAAGAGTCACTTAGAGTAGGTTTAGAGTTTACCCACGTATATGGTTAGTTTTAGGGTTAAGTTAGGTTAAAGTTAAGTATAGTTGAGGCTTAGGGTTAGGTTGGGCTAGGTTTAGGGTTATGGCTGAGGTTAGGTATAGGGTTAAGTTACTGCTAGGATTAGGGTAAGATTTAGGGTAAAGGTTCAGTGTAGCGTTGAAGTTTAGTACAGAGATAGGGTTAGTGTTAAGGTTGGATTTCGGTTTGAGTTTAGGTGTAAGGTTAGTGTTAGGATTAAGTTTAGGATTGAGATTAGGTATATTGGTAGGGTTAGTATTAGAATTAGATTAAGGATAAGGTTAAGATACAGGTTTAGGGTTAGGATTATATTAGGGTTATAGAGAGGGTTAAGTATAACATGGGATTAAAGTTAGGTATGAAAGAGTATAGGGTTAGGATTGAGGTTAGGTATAGCATTAGGTTTTGAGTTAGAATTAGGGTTGAGTTTAGTACAGGGTTAGGATTAGATATAGTATTAGGGTTGAGGTTGGTTTAGGGACAGGATTAGGGTTGAAGACAGTAAAGTTATGTTTCTGGTTAAAGTTAGTGATAGAGAGTTGAGTTCAGTCTAGGATTAGTGTTGAGGATAGGTATAGGTTTGGATTAGGATTTTAGTTAGGGTTAGAGTTATGAAGAGGATTTTATAGAGTGTTGGGGTTAGGTTAGGATTAAGTTTAAGATTAGGTACACTGTTAGCATTAGTGTTACGGTTAGGGTGAAGTTTAGGTATGGAGTTACTGTTAGGATAGGGTAAGGGTTAGGGTTAGTGTAGAGTTTGGGTTCGTGTTGAGGTTAAACATCAGGTTAGCTTTTGTGTTAGTTTTAGGGTTAGTGTTGAGGTTAGCAATAGTGGGTAGGGTTGGGGTTAGAGTTAGGGATAGGGTTGAGTTTTAGGGTTAGGGATGAGTTTAGGTATAAGGTTAGGGTTTCACTTAGTGGAAGAAGTTAGATAGTTTTTGGGTTAGGGTTTAGTTTTAGGGTTATTAAGAGGGTTAGGTATGATTTAGTGTTAGGGTTAGGTTTAATTGAGCTTAGGTATATGGTTAGGGTTAAGAGTAAGGTTAAACTTAGTTTCGGTTAGGAGTAGGAAAAATAAAAAAGAATTACTTGGCCCTAGCCAGTTTGGCTTAGTGGATAGAGCACTGGCCTGGGGACTGAAGGGTCCCAGGTTCGATTCCGGTCAAGGGCACATACCCAGGTTGTGGGCTTGATTCCCAGTAGGGGGCGTGAAGGAGGCAGCCAGTCAGTGATTCTCATCATTGATGTTTCTATCTCTCCCTCTCCCTTCCTCTTTCTGAAATCAATAAAAATATATTTAAAAAAAATTACTTGGAGATCTTGTTTAAAATGCAGATCCAGCTTCAGTAGTTCTGGAAGGGGAAGAGGCTTGAGAGCCTACATTTTAGCAAGTTCCCAGGTGATATTGGTGCCTCTGGTACAACAAGGACTTTGAGAGGCTTGTTATGAAAGAAACTTAGCCTGGCCAGCGTGGCTCAGTGGTTGAGCGTTGACCTATGAACCAGGAGGTCACGGTTCAATTCCTGGTCAGGGCACATGCCCGGGTTGTGGGCTCGATCCCAGTGGGGGTCATGCAGGAGGCAGTCAGTCAATGAGTCTCTCATCATTAATGTTTCTATCTCTCTCTCCCTCTCCTTAGCTCTCTGAAATAAAAATATATTGAAAAGAAACTTTTAATCTAAATAATACAAGTATCTAAGGTAAATAATCAAATACCAATAAGTGTAATAAAAGTTAGTAGTTCTGTGCCTAGTCTACTTCATAAAGGTATTCATCCTCAACTCTTCTCTTTCTCCTGAAATATACCTCTACATATATGAATAGTAATCTTTTTTTGTTCTTTTGCTGTATTTATTTACTTAAAAATATTTTTTTTTTATTGATTTCAGAGAGGAAGGGAGAGGGAGAGAGAGAGAGAAACATCAGTGATGAGAGAGAGTCATTGATTGGCTGGCTGCCTCCTGTATGCCCTCCACTGGGGATCGAGCCCACAACCCGGGCATGTGCCCTTGACTGAGTCGAACCTGGGACCCTGCAGTCCGTAGACCGATGCTCTATCCAAACCAGCTAGGGCTTATGCTGTTTTTATTTCATGGATGCAGTTAGCTTATTTTTTTGATTATATTGATTATACCTTTTAGGATATCTGCACCTATTTATAGTGTTTCTTGTTTCCTTCAGGGCTTTTTATTTTGTTTGGTGACTTTCAAGTTAGAGTCTTGGTGATCCTTGAATAAAAGGAAGTATTTAAAAGCTGGATGGAAGCTCTGGGTTCATGGTAGTTGCCTGGTAGACTTGTCTATAGTATGTCGAGACTTAAACTGTCATCTCTCTTAGGAACCCTCAAATATAAGTATGAATGTCTTACCTCTCTCTAGAAAAGAATCTTCAGCCTGTTCCATGGAACAGCGGGGAGCAAGAATGCTTTTAGCTGTTAGGTTCTTGATACTGAGAACAAGATGAGTCCCACCGTTCTGTACATTGATTTTTATTTGTACTTATTTTCAACCCACCACTTCACACTCTGCCTGCTGTGACTGATATTCCTGAGTCTGGAATCTCTCATTTGATTTCTCCAGAGATTAAATCTCCATTCTCCTGTTGGGGAAACCTAGGGTGAGGATGGTATCCAGCTAACCTGTATATAGACTTGCAGTAAATCCCCCTATTTTTCAGGTCTATGGCTGATAACCTGCCTCAGGAGTACCTGGTGCCTTCAGTACAGAGATTATTGGGAGTTGTGAAGGGCACATTGTTTTCTAAATGTTAACTCCCACTGCAGAGTATAACTCCTCTGCTCCAAGTCATTTATCCCTCCATCCACTTTCATCTTCTGAAAATATATTGAAATTTCTCATACACTTTGTCTCCTCCTCTGTTGACTTTTTTTGTTGGTTTATTTTTATTGATTTATTTAGAGAGGAAGGGAGAGGGAGAAACATCTGTGTGAGAAACATTAATTGCTGCCTCCTGCATGCCCCCCACTGGCGATTTGTGCCCTGACCAGGAATCAAACTGGAATGCATGGGACAGCGGCTAGGGCCAGACAGATTATTTATTATGCAGAAGTACTTGGGCCGTTTTTGAAAACAGCCCAGGGAGCTCTTCTTCTTTGTCCTTGATTGGAAAGTTCAGGTGTGTTAACTCTGCACTTTATGCCCTAATCTCAAATGGTAAAATTTGAACCACTTCCTGCCTTCATTGTAGTAGAAAAATATTTACAGCTCTAAGAACAGAGACAATGGTCAGTTAAAAAAAAAAGTTGATGTTCAGGTTCCTGGAGGAGTTGATGGAGATAGATTCTAGACATGTCTTTCCCTAGGTCAAGGGTCGTGATAAACATATCAATAATTTGAAAAAGAAATGCCAGAAGGAATCCGAGCAGAACCGAGAGAAGCAGCAGCGTATTGAAACCTTGGAGCGCTACCTGGCTGACCTGCCCACCCTGGAAGACCATCAGAAGCAGAGCCAGCAGGTAGCAGCAATGTCTGGGCGTACCTGGGGCAAGCAGGGAGTGGCCAAACCAGGGGGACTTTCTCCGCCTCTGCTGTATGCAGTTACCCCGTGGTTTCCTGAAAGGAAAATCCCCAGTCATATCAAGACACAGCTGGACTGTAAATTTTATAAGACCCAGGCAGTCTTTTTTAGTTTGCTGACCTAAGGATGGAATTCTGTCTCTCAGCTTAAGGATTCTGAGTTGAAGATCACAGAGCTGCAGGAGAGAGTGACTGAGTTGGAGAATTTGCTGGAGGAGACCCAGGCAGCTTGCAGAAAGAAGGAGGTTCAACTGGAGAGCCTGAGACAGACAGAAGCAGAATTCTCCACTGGACATAGGTAAATATCCCTGTGAGGTTGAGGAAGTGGAGGGCTAGGTTCTGGTCCTGGCTACCCCGTACTAGTTGTGTGACTGCTCTAATCTCTACTTCTCTAAGCTTCGTTTTGTTTGAGTGTGAATAATAGAAAAACGACCTATGTCTTTGAGATGGAGTCTGGGGGATATAATGGTACAGTGGGAACTTGTCATTTTATCCTTTAGAAGGGTCCAGCTCAGTGCCTGCCATAACAGTGCTGGATAATAATCCTTGACTATTTGTGTTGAATGAATGAAAGCACTTTATAAACTGGGAAATAAGTTGTCTGTATATTTGCAAAAGTAGATCCTGGTGCTGAGAACTGGGGAGTTATCCACATTTTGAACCTTGTAAGCTAAAGACTACCAGCAGAATCTGTTTCTTCTCCGCACTGGGGATTGCTCTTGATTGCCACAACAGGTTCTGAGAACAAAACAAAATAGCATAATGCACTCTCAGGGTGTCTTGTGAGCCTCGTCCATATTAATGGCAATTTCTGAAAATGTGATGGCTGTGTTTCAACAGCTTCTTGGATCAAATCCAGTTTCTAATGGGATGGATTGGATTTTTCATCCTAATATACCACAGTGACCCTGTTGTTTATCTTAGCAGATGGGCCATGATGAAAGTGACTGTGGGGATCCATTAGGGGAGACCATTGTTTGGAGTCAGAAGTGAAGTTAGGGGACAAAGTTGATTCTGCCCCAAACTATGTATACCAAGAAAAAAGGAGATTTTTTTGTGTTTTCCAAAGTTCTACAATATACATGTATGACTTTTATAATCTAAATGCATGTGATGAGTGTTTATTTTTAGGTATCAAAACAAAGAATAAAAGCCTTGGGCAGGTGGCCATTGTATAGATCAGGGGTCCTCAAACTACGGCCCGCGGGCCACATGCAAATACAAATATTGTATTTGTTCCCATTTTGTTTTTTTACTTCAAAATAAGATATGTGCAGTGTGCATAGGAATTTGTTCATAGTTGTTTTTTAAACTATAGTTGGGCCCTCCATCAGTCTGAGGGACAGTGAACTGGCCCCCTGTTTAAAAAGTTTGAGGACCCCTGGTATAGATATTGGCATCTAATAAAGGGAACTCATATAGACTAAGTAGTTTTAGGGTGGCACGCCTTCCATTACAACATACCTAATGTTATCCTCCGCTGTGGCTCAGAAGGGCCTAAGTGTTTTGTCCCAAACATACAAGCAGATCAGGAGTCAGAGCCACATCCCTCTGACTTCAGACTTCTTGAAGAGGCCACTGTCTTTCAGCCTGCAAGATAAGCAGTGTATGGAGGCCAGTGGAGAAGGTCCAGCCCAACAGGAAGAAGGTCCAAAAGTGGAAATGGAGTCCTGGCAGAAGGAATGTGATTCTCTCCGAAAGGTGATTGAGGGTATCCAGGCTGTAACAGGTGGTAGGCTAAGAGGAAAGAGAAATTTGTGTTTGGGGAAGGCACCATGAATTTCTGGCCCTGGGCCATCTGTATTACCCAGAGCCTTTCCCTCTTTTCCGAGAAGTCACTCCTGCATAATAAGTTTGCATTTAGGTATTCATCCTTATGACAGGTAAGAAAGTGAGAGGAGGACATCCCTCTGAACATTCAGACTGGATGCTCCAAAATGGTGCACTTCATTCATTGCTCCGGCCCTCTGCAGAATCTCTGGCACTGGACAGAGATCTGACCGCTGATGTGGCCCTAATTCAGCAGAGGAGCAGTCCAGGGCCTGTTGGTGAGACCGATCACAGATCAGCAAAAAAGAAGACCCAGAAATAGTTCAGAGAATACCTGAGGTCTCAAAGAACAGGAAACTGGGCCTATTCAGGTTCTCTCCTTCAACATTCAGTGTGAGAAGGCTATACGTAACAACTATCACAGCCCTGGATAAGACAGGTTTTGTTCAACTGAATTTTTAGTCATGTCCTTGACCAAAGAACAAGAATGTATGCTGGCTATAAATAAAGTTAATTCCACTGGCCCTCCGTCATCAGGGTGAGGTTGTCTCTCACCCCCGTAGTAAGTCCACACTCATTTGTGTGTGTGTGACTGGAGCACAGGAGTGTGAAGTTGGTTAGCCTATCGGATAAGGAATCTGGGCTGTATTTCTGTAGGTAGAGTTAACTTGTCTTCACCCTGATCTCACTATTGACTGGCTGGCTGTAGCCAGTAGAGCTAATAGCCAGACCACAGGTCCTAGTTTAGCCTCTTGCCCTCTTGCCTCCTACCGCAACATCAACATGTGCTTATAGCCTTCCTTGATAACTTTGCCTTTCAGATTGTGGGAAAGCAACAGCAGAAGATGGGCCAGTTACACTCACAAGTTCAGGTGAGCTGGAGTCCTTGGGATATGGTGGGCAGGACTTAATGGAATCTCTAGAATTCAGCCAACACTGTTCCATTCTCTGCCATCCAATTTGTTCAGTGTTAGGAATACAACAAGAATGAGATCCAATCAGTGCTTTTAGCCTACAATCTTGTTGGGAAAGGGTTTCGGCACAATACGGTGAGTGCCATGTTCATGTTACCCTAGGGGAGCATAGAAGAGTTGGTTGAGGAGGAGGAGATCAAGGGTTTCTGGAGGTCATGACCCTTGAGGGAGGAGGAAGAATTAGGCTGGCAGAGAGGTAGAGCTAGAAGGGATGGTATTGGAGCTCCAGATAGAAGGAACAGCACAGGTAGGAACATGGAGGCATGAAACAGCAGGATTTTGCACATGGAGCTGCAAGCAGTGTGATACTGGTGGGGTTTTTTTTGTTTGTTTGTTTTTTATTAAACACTAGAAGAGTATATTTTAACTTTAAACATTTACCCAAATAAATTTTTTATACACACACAGTTTAATAAATTATAAGCATACAGCTCTCTGATAGTTCTATAGTATACTTAATGAAAAATATAGAATACACTTGGCTAGTGTGATACTGTTGAAGTAAGATGGTGAATGGAGAACTGGGGTATGGGAAGAATTTGTCTCTCCAATTAAGTTAGCTTTTTAAAAAAATAAGTATATGTTTTTATTGATTTCAGAGAGAGGAAGGGAGGGAGAAAGAGAGAAACATCAGGGATGAGAGAGAATCATTGATCAGCTGCCTCCTGCACGCCCCCTACTGGTGATGGAACCTGCAACCCAGGCATGTGCCCTGACCAGAATTGAACTGTGACTCCTGGTTCATGGATCCGATGCTCAACCACTTAGCCACACTGGAGAGAGAGAAACATCAATGGTGAGAGAATCATTGATCGGCTGCCTCCTGCATGCCCCCTACTGGGGATTGAGCCCGCAACCCAGGCATGCGCCCTTGGCCAGAATTGAACCTGGGACCCTTCAGTCCGTAGGCCGATGCTCTACCCACTGAGCCAAACCAGCTAGGGCAATATATTGATTTTAGAGAGAGAGGAAAGGAGAGGGATAGAGAGAAAAACATGGACTAGCTACCTCCTGCATGCCCCCTACTGGGGATATCTTGGTTCATGGGTCGATGCTCAACTACTGAACCACACTGGCCAGGCGGCTTTTATTCTTTAGGTAGGTGATGGGAATCTTCTAAAGCATTTAATTGGAGTGTGGTGTGGTTAAGTTAGCAATTCAGGCTTTTTATGGAAAAAGATTGCTCTTGGGAGAGAGGCAAAGCTGGAGGCCAGTGAACTGTTGTGAAAATCCTAGTGAGAGATGGTGAAGGAACCTGGCATTTCTGTGAATTTTAGGAGGTACAACTGAGAGGAATCAGTGACTGTCAGAATATAGTGGTTTGAAGAATAAGGAAAAATCAAAGAGAACTCTTGGTTTCAGTCTTGGGTCAGAGTGGGCATGTCCTTAGTTGGGTTCTCTAAGAAATCCTAGGAAAAGCAGGTTCACTCAGGTTCTCTGTGGACTCTGAAAGAGGTTTCACACTAAAATGGATAAAACACACTTACTCTGAGGAGCAACAAAAGCTGCAATCCCGCCGTTGCCATTTGTGGGCCAGGCGATGCCTATTTAGTTCACTAATTCATATTTCAAGTCCTATTAGAATGTAGTCAAACCAAATATAGTTAAAATCTTACGTTTTTAGTAGAGTTTTAATGTCTATGTTTTCTGGAACCCTATGTTCCACAAAGGTTGCAAAAGCTTAACATGTTAAAGGGAACATTTAGACATGATGAGACTTCTCAAATTATTAGATGAATTTGCTGGAATTATGTGGGTTCAGGATACTTACATTGGGTATTTCATAGTGATGAGATATTCTCCTGGGAAGTTACATATTTTTAATACAAATGGGAAAATTCAGATTTTTACAGTATTGTATTTGTTCAAATCAGTTACAAAATCGGGGGGGGGGGGAATTGAAATAGAATGAATAGAATAAGAGGCAGAATATAATAAATATACTTTCCTCCCTCTGGCTACCCCTGCATGCACACACCACACACATACATTACAGTCTAGATTTGATGCCTGTGGGAGTGTTCTCCTACCCCTTCTCATCTGTGTAAAAGCATTTAAAACAATATTGTGAGGGGCTTGGACTGTGAGCTCCTTAAAGACTGGCATTCATTTCAGTAGCCTTAGTGCATGTCACAGCAAACATTGAATTCAACCTAATGGATGTTCCCTGCTCTCAAGAAAGTAATTGTTTGCCCAACAGGCGTGGCTCAGACCTTGAACAAGAAGGTCACAGTTAGATTCCTAGTCAAGGTACATGCCCAGGTGGCAAGCTCAATCCCTGGTGTGGGGGTGTGCAGGTGGCAGCCAATCAATGATTATCTCTCTTTGACATTTTTATCTCTCTCTCCCTCTCCCTTGCTCTCTTTGAAATCAATAAAAAAAAATATTTTTAAAAAAGAAAGTAATGGTCTAGTGGAGGGAGGAATCATGTGCACAACCAGCAAAGGCACTCATGATCTCTGAGGCGGTATGAGTAGCAAGGTGAGGTTATGATGAATTGAATCTGATTTGCAGATTGAGGAAAGCTTGGGTGGCCTTGGAGGAGGTTTCTTGGGTGACAGGCAGAACAGAAGAGAATTCTGGGTGAAGGGGAAGAGGAATGAGTAACAATATTGAAGCTGGAGCCTTGGGGGGTGAAGCCCAGCCAGTTATTCTGTAGGTGTGGCTAAAGTGGAGGTTGTGTGGAGGGTAAAAAGAGATATGGCTGTAACAGTAGGTAAGTGCTAGACTGGCCTGGAATGCCCTGCTGAGGAACTAGTAGCCTCTTATTTTGTACATGGTCACTGGCTATAGGAGGGTTTCAATCAGGGCTATTCTAAAATCTCTTAGCAGCAGTGTGTGGGCAGGGTAGGGCTTTACTATATAGTCCAGGCCAGAGGTGATATGGTCTGAACCAGACCTGTTACCCCTGGTGTGTTCTCCCATCACTCCTTGCCATCGAATTTAGAGCCTAGAGCAGCAAGTGGCTCAAGAAGAAGGAACAAGCCAAGCCCTGAAAGAGGAGGCCCAGCAGAGGGAGACAGCCTTGCAGCAGCTTCGCACAGCTGTGAAAGAGGTGAGCAGCATCAGCTAGTCCTGGTACTCTGTGTACCCTTCCCATCCCTACTCCCACATGAGCTCCCATGTTTGAAAGGTGCCTGCTGACGGTTTTTTGTGGTTGTTTTTTGTTTGTTTTTTTTTGGGTTTTTTTGGCAGAGGAATAAAAAGGGACATTGCATCATCCTTTATATTAAAGGTCCTAAGCCTATCTTAGAGTGGCCATAATTACCCAGGGGGGGGGGGGGAATTACCCAGGAATGCTTTTTTTTTTTTTCTTTTTTTTTAAATGTATTTAATGATTTTTTACAGAGAGGAAAGGAGAGGGATAGAGAGTTAGAAACATCGATGAGAGGGAAACATCGATCAGCTGCCTCCTGCACGCCCCCCACTGGGGATGTGCCCGCAACCAAGGTACATTCCCTTGACCGGAATCGAACCTGGGACCCTTGAGTCCACAGGCTGACGCTCTATCCGCTGAGCCAAACCGGCCAGGGCAGGAATGCTTTTTGTATGTGGAAAGTCACTCTCCCTTTGTCTTTCTACAGCCACAGATTTGTGGAGTTGGGAAGGGAAGGGTTCAAGAAGACTGAGGGTTTGGTGGTCCTCATGGAGTAAACAGCTATCATTGGGGGACAACCAAGATCAATGGCCAAGACCTAGGAAGGAGTCTGCCATTGCAAAAATTGTCACATGGTTCACTGTGGGTGAAGGGCTGGGATTGGAAGGGGAACTGTTCAGTGTCTTTAGAACAGAGATAGGGAGGGAAGCAGAGTGGGTTAAGCTGTTCAGGGTGAAAGAAGGAAAGAGACACAGGTAATACGTGAGTAACTGGTCTGTGTAGTGAGCCCAGCTCCACTGAAGTGAAGGTCCGAAAAGGAAGGATAAATTCCAGCACTGTGTTCTCCAGGTCCCCAGCTTCTCCAGCTCCCCACCCAGTGTCCACTAGCTGTCATGTCTTTATTACTTCTTTTATTCCTCTGACACCCTCTGATCAGACTGGCTGGTGGCCACTTTTGTCAGGGTGGCAGGGAGAGATTGAAACCAGTGTCTCCTCAGATTTCACAGTTCACATTAAGCCTTCTCTAATAGCCTGGCTAACAGTGTTGGCTGAGGGACTGGCTTCAGATAAAGTTCCGAGGGGCGGGAGTATCTTCTCTGGCTCCTGAACAGAAACCTGGAGGCTGATGACTCAGAGTCTGCTGGGGAGTGGTTTCCTCTCCAGTTCGGGAGTTCTGTGGGCCTGGCCTGCCTATAGGAGGAAGTAGGCCTGGAATCGAGAAGGGAGTAGGAGTGCTAAGTCTGTAAGTAGGGATGGGGAGGAGGAACATCACCTGACTCATACCCTGCACACACATGTATATCCACACTCAGGTACAGATACACTGCCTTTCTCTGGACCTGGGTTAATATTGTCCATCTATCCACTCAGCTTTCAGCACAGAACCAGGACCTGATTGAAAAGAATCTGACGCTCCAGGAACACCTGCGCCAAGCTCAACCAGGGTGCCCATCTTCAGACACGGCCCAGCTGGCATTTGAGCTGCACCAGGAGTTGGCCAGTTGTCTTCAAGATCTGCAAGCTGTCTGTAGCATTGTGACCCAGAGGGCCCAGGGCCATGACCCCAATCTCTCCTTGCTCCTGGGCATTCACTGTGAGTCCTCAGACCAGTCGGGACCCAGGAGAGGGGAATGGCTTTCATTCTCTCATCCTCATCCACCTTTCCCATCTTTATGGTAACGTGGCAACAGGGCTATGGAGGCTTGGTCACTGCCCTCTGAGAGTTTGTGTTTTGTAAAGATGTTCAGAAAATCTGTTTTGGAAATAGGCATCTTTGTGGGGGGTCCCTGGGCACAGGACAAGCAAAAAGTGGCCCTTAGGCAGCAAATTTTCAGCCCACTATCCCCAGCTGCTTTTTTAAAAGTGCTGTGTCTCAAGACCATGGGCCTTACTCCCTCCACCTGAAAGCTTCCCTTAACTAACATTCTCTCAAAATGCTCTCCCCTCCAGCTGCACAGCACCCAGGGATTCCACTAGATTTACAGAAGCCGGATGTAATCAGGAGGAAACTAGAAGAGGTTCAACAGCTGCGCCATGACATCGAGGATTTAAGGACCACCATGTCAGATAGATATGCCCAGGACATGGGAGAAAACTGTGTCACGCAATAAGGAATGCTGGGCATGGGACAGGCTGTATTCCCCAAGGAAGGATCTGGTGTGCTGACAGCCCAGTCCAGCAGGTCCTGCCCTGACAATCTCTTGCCTCCTGTTTGCTGCTATTCCCAGAGAGAAGGTGTAGAAGGGAGGTAAGAGCCTGATCTGGGGCCAGGGGCTGACTAGGGAACTGTGCCTGCCCTGTCACAAACTGGCTTTGCCTTGTTGGATTGCATTTGTCCTGTCATCTTGATTCATACTGTGAGGGGGAGTTACTAATTAACTTTTTCAGGTCACCTGGTAAGTCTTCACAGACTGTTCCCAGCCCCAGGCTGACGTCAAAGGCAAACAGGCTGCTCACTTCCCTTCTCCATCCTTTGGGGTGGATCCACATTCATTCCCACTCCATACCTTGGTCCTGCTGTTGCCCAGAGTTCATTAGAGGGGCCTGGAAAGGCTGAATACCAGTAACAGTGGCCATTTAAGAATTCTCAGGCCCCAGCACCAGCCTTCCTGGGAGCTGAGCTGGCTTTCTGGGCTTGCTTAGGTCCAGTTCCACTGCTGCTTTCTCAGGGCTCTTGTTCTCACAGACACCTCAGGGTGATCTATTTGTTAGCATAGTACCCACTGTAATTGGAGGCCTAGGGGTTATAGCCCGGGCTCCTCCATCTGCCATTTTATAGGTGACCCCTCTCCAGCTGCCCTGTGGCCTGGGCTCCCTTCTTGGTTTTCAGGTCACCCAGGTAGCCCCCTTCTTGGATTTTGAGTGCAAACTCTTCCCTGTGGTTCTGGGTTTAGGCAGGATTTCCCCCAAAATACCACAGGTCAACAGTCAAGCTGCTCATCCCCTCCCCCTGGGGCTGGGGCCAGTGCCCAGCCCTAATTTGTGCCTCTTTTGTTGAGGGGGTTCCCTTTCCTGCTCTGGGCTCCTTGAGAGTTCGGAGTACCCAATACAGGTTAGCTTTAAGGTGTAGTTTTCAGTGTTTTCTGGGTTTTTTATTTGTTTCTCTGGGGCCTTGGAACTCTCTGCTTTCCGTTTTCTCCTGCCTCCTCGTTTAAGGAGCATCTCACAGTTGTTTGTATCTGGTTGCCCAGCTGGCCCCAGGCCTCCTCAAGAGCTGGAGCCCAGCCAAGTGGAGGTCATGTGTAGGTGTGGGGAACACTGAACAGTTTATAGGAGTCTCAAAGAGCAAACATGAGGTTCTTGCTAAGCTTTGTGCTGTCAGGGCAATATCCTAGACCTCACTCCTGGGTCTGAATGAGACTCCTTAAGTGTTTTTACAAATTGTGTTTTATTTGTGGAGTGACTTATCCCTTCCATTCAGAGCAGCCTCACCCAGCCATCCCCTTAGCCTCTGGGCTCCTGCCTCCTCTCCTGAAAGCAGAACCGCCTGGTTGGTCTCCACCCTGTGTTGGAAGCCCAGCCACCATGCTCACGGGTATTTTTCCTCGTAAAGTTTATAAGCAGTTATTTATATGAATTGTTGTTATGTCAACTGGTTTGTATTGCCTATTTTGATTACAAAATAAAAATTTACAGACTCCTCAGTTTTCCATTGCCTTGCATCACCACAGTCCCCTACTCCACCCCTTATTTTGGCTTTTGAAGCCAAAGCCTGGGGAGGTTAGCCAAGTTCCTCAGACAGCAAGGAGGGACCGTTGGCAGGTCCAGCCTCGTGTCTGTATCTCTACTTCTCTATTGTTCTACGGGAAAAATTAGATCTCTTCCCACACAACTTTCTATTGGGCAAAGCTGCCGTGAATCATAGAGCAGATTTGCCACTGGAAAGAGTAATCATCTGAGAGAGGAAGTCAACTGCCGCCATGAGGAAGTGGCTTCCCCAGAGCAAGACAGGGTGCTGTTTGCTTCCGGGAGCTAGGATTGCCTTCCTCGGGGGACTGCTCAGGGGCAACATGCCCAAGCCCAGGCAGATAGCAGTCTCCAAAGTTGGGTTGGTTCCTGGAATCCGCTCCCTTTGAGCTCCCGGAGTTTTTCCTGAGAGTAGGGGTGGTTTCAGAGTGCCATCTGCAGCTGGAGTTGGGGTTGAGCTGGGTTACCTCAATATCAGCTGTAGATCTTTTTCTTTTTTTTAATATTTGTATTTGATTTCAGAGAGGAAGGGAGAGGGAGAGAGAAACATTAATGATGAGAATCATGGATCGTCTGCCTCCTGCACGCCCCCTACTGATGATGGAGCCTGCAACCCAGGCATGTGCCCTTGACTGGAATCAAACCGGGGACCCTTCAGTCCACAGGCTGAGGCTCTATCCATCGAGACAAACGGAGCTCGGGCAGCTGCGGGTCTTTAACAAGGAGCCCTGACACTAACTTCTTTCCAGAACTAGCAGCCTCTTGGCCTCCATCTGGCTCCTTGAGGGTGTGGCCCTGTCTCCTGCCGCCACCCTTCCTTGTCTAAACTTGCATGCCATGCGTGGAGAGGAACTTTGGGGCAAAGCTTTGGTGCGCCTCCTATCCTGACGGGTTAGCCATACTTGGGTGTCCCCTGGTGGACCTTGTGAAAGGGCCCCTCGGAGCCAGGTTCCCTAGCTTGGGAACTTTAGGTTTGAAAACAGCCTTCAAAGTGCAAAGCCCAGAGCTGCGCCGCGCTGTCGTGGCACCGGGGGTGGGTAGTTGGGTGCGGCAAAGCCAGGCGAGGCTGTGGAGGCGGCCTTTCCAGCCATCGGGGCCCTCCCCAGCCTCACACTGAGCCCCGAGGAGAGAAAGGCCAAAGCCGGCAGTCCAGCGTGGGACGGGGGTCCCGGAGCGCCCAGCCCTGAGGGGGGAGGGGACTTGCGGTGAGCTGGGCGGGGTGGCGCAGGCCCGCCCCGGCCCCGCCCCTGCCCGCGCCGCTCATTGGTCCCGAGAGCGGTGACTCGCGGGCTGAGCAGGAAGGAAACCGCTCCCGAGCGGCAGCAGCGTCTCCCGGCCGTGCAGCTGCAGCCACCAGCGCTCCTCCGCCAGTCCGTCCGTCCGCCCGCAGCATGAGCGGCCTGCGAGTCTACAGTACGTCGGTCACCGGGTCACGCGAAGTGAGTGCTTGCCGGGGGCCCACTCCGGGGGAGAGCGTGGGTGCCGGGATCCGCCCCCAGGCGAGGGCGGGGCGGGGGCCGCGAAGCTCCGGCTCGGCCTCCTGGGTCGGCTCCCACCGCGGGCCTCACGGCCCCAACGTGAGAGCCTTCATCGCGCATCCTGGGGCTTCAGCAGCCCCTGCGTGAGCCGCCCACGCCCATCCTCCGTCACTCGGACGCCCATTCTCTGCACCCCCTTCCAGGCGACCCAGACCGCGTCCTTATCTTGCCCTTTTCTTTCCCCGCGTGGACCTGGGAAGGGAGGGGTGGTCCCTTACCAGTCTCTACCCAGGCCGACACCGCCTCCCCATCGCTGAGCTCCTGGCTCTACCCACCCTGAGCTTAATCCCACTTCCCTTCATTCTGACTTCCCTCGCCATGGTTGGTGGTCCTTCTCTCATCCCATACCACCGCAAGTCTGTCTCATCCTCAAAAGTCCCAGTGGTCAGGACAGGGGGAAAAAAGCTCCTAGCCACACTCCCTGTCTGCCCAGGGTTCCTTTCCTCCACCCCAAGCCCTCCAGCTTGCTCATAACCCCTGCCCACCTTCTGCCCCCAGATCAAATCCCAGCAGAGCGAAGTAACCCGCATCCTGGATGGGAAGCGCATCCAGTACAAGCTAGTGGACATCTCCCAGGACAACGCCCTACGGGATGAGATGCGAGCCTTGGCGGGCAACCCCAAGGCCACCCCACCCCAGATTGTTAATGGAGACCAGTACTGTGGGGTATGGGCCTGGGGGTTGGGGGTGGGGGGGTGTTATAAATGGACTCCGGCCAGAGTCACAGCTCCAGCACTCAGGTGACCACCTCTCTCATCCCCTCCCCCAGGACTATGAGCTGTTTGTGGAGGCTGTGGAACAAAACACGCTGGAGGAGTTCCTGAAACTGGCCTGAGCCAAGCCCAGGCTGGCCAACCGCATTCCCTCCCCACATTCCCCAGCCCCCAGCCTTTGTGGGCCATGAAGGACCTTGTGACCAACTCCCTGTTACTCCGCACCTTCTGCCCTCGGAGCCCTGTCCCCCATCCCAAGCCTCTCCTCCTCCCTTTACCTGTAGCCCCCTCTCCGCATTCAGAGGCAGCATTCCTGACCCAGTAGTCTCAGAAACTGTCTTAAGCAACAGCCCAAGTGCTGGCTGTCTCAACCTGGCCCTGGGACTGCCACCCTGCCTGGCACTGGCTAATGGGCATCTTTGTTGGTTCCATTAGCCTGGGCTCTGCCAAAGGCCCCGCAATCCCCAACCTGGGAGCACCCTAGAGACAATTAAATGTCCCATTCCATTGGTGTCTTGTCTGTTTGGTGTTGCCTAGACATCCTGAGTTCCTGCTCTGAGCAAGGCGGGTAGGTGTAAGTCGCCTGAGGCTGTGCTCCTGTGGGCAGGGCAGGTTGGTTGAGCTGTACCCCCGTGTGGCACTTGTGTGTGATAGTGCATGTGTTTGGATATGTGTCCAGCACACACATACCTGTGTGGACCAGTGGTTTCTGGAAACTGTGGGTGGGTCCCCTTCCAGTTCATATGCATGTGATGGTCCATGACACACCTGTGCCCTGGTGTGTGGTGCACATTTGCATGTCTGTCAGCCATGTGGCTGGGCCATGTGGCTGCCTGCCTGTGTTCCAGCAGGTTGGCTCAGTGTGGCTGTGTCATGGGAATGGGTACACAGCTGTAGTTCTGCCAGTTTGGGAGCCGTGCCTTTGTGCATAGTATTGAAGTGTCCCCACCCGCTTGTGGTTCTGTGCATATCTGTGTACAGGGATCTGCTGGCTGCCCCAGCTGAGCCTATGCTGGGGCCCGCCTTCCCTTCGCTGGATCCGCTTAACCCTTCTATGGAGAAAGGAACCTAGAGGACAAAGACCCAGCAGCCAGGCCTGCCAGCTGGGGCTCAAGTTACTGAGAGGGCCGGTCGGCGCCGCCCCCTCCCCGACCCAGCTGGGCCCCAGCCTTCCCTGGTGCCCAGAGGGGCTGCCCCACAGAGGAGCCTCAGGAAGCAACTGGTATGGGGACGGGCGCTTTATTTGGGTTGAGGGCTTGGTTGGGGTCCAGGGGCGGGCGTCAGGGCCCGGCTCGCCCGCATTAGCAGAGCTGCATTGGGCACCAGTCCGGCGGCCTGCAGCGTGAGCTCGTCCTCGCGGTAGACTGTGGGCGGGAACGCACTGAAGATCTCGAAGGCATTTGGGTCCATGCCCCTGGGGTCCGGGCAGAAGAGATCAGGTCAGGTCGTGGGACCTGGGACCAGAGACCCACTGCATCCGCCATTCTGGCCCCACACCCACCTGGCCTGCGCGAGCAGGGCTCTCACATCACCGACAGTGTCCTCAGGCCACATCATTAGCAGAAAGGCCTGCTCGCCATTCTCAGACTTGATGCGCAGCATGGAGACCGGGTGCTCAGGCGACTCAGGAGACTCTTGGATCCTGCGGGCCCAGAGGCCTTCAGTGCCCCCACAGCCCAACCCCCAGGTTCTCACCTCCACTCTGCCCTCACCTCTTACGCTCAGCAGCCAAGGCAGGCGTCTCCACCATGATCTCCTGGACCGGGAGAGGCCGTGGGCAACAGTTCTGGAAGGCATTGATGGAGTGGACAGAGCCCTGAATCCTGCCAGTCCCACCCACCCCTACCCCTAGAGGGGACTTGTTCATGACGGGGAATTGATTAAACCATTGAGCGTAAAGGAGAGGTGGGGGTGTTCTGTGTGAGAGAGTGTGCAAGCAGAGGCAATGGAACAGAAGCTTTGGGACACTACCCCATCATCCCCCCAGGAAGACTTGAGGTCCTAAGTCTAGTGGGGGAGACAGAACCCCACACCGATGATGACCTGGCTGGGTGCTGAGGCCAGCGTGGGTCAGGGGAGATTTCCCTAGGGAAATGACACCTGAGCTGTGACTGGAGGAAGAGGAGTCCTAGGCGAGGGAAGGGGCCAAGGGGACTCCAGACAGCATGGGAAGGTCCCCAGGTCAGGGGAGACTTCTGAGAGGAGAGAATACTTTGGGGAAGTGTCAGTTTGTGGGACGGAAGCTGGGAACCAGGTTGGACTGGAAGAAAGAAAAGGTTAGGAGTGGGGAGTGGGGGAAGAGTAAAAAGGCCCAAGAACCACCAGAGGGTTCAATAAAAAGCCAAGATCAGTTTACATTCTTAAAAGGAGGCTGCTTAGGGGAGGATGGTTGGCAGGTCAGGAGTGGATGTGGGGGGTAGACCACTGCAGTTGAGTGGGGGAGAGATTCTGGGTCGTGAGAATGGAGAGAAGGATGGACTCAGGAGAAGTTCTGGGGACCAACAGATCAGATGGGACTTGGCAATGTGGGGCAAAGGAGGTAGAGAGTCCTGGGGAAACTGAGGTTTGCTACCTGTCACAGGTGGAGGCAGAGGAGGAGGAGCAGGCTTGGGAGTGAGGAGAGGAAGATGAGTAGTGTGAGGGCCCAGAAGGGCTCTCCAGAACTGAACTGGCTATTTTGGGCTGGAACTTGAGGGGGCAGGCTCGGCCTTGGGCCCACCTCTGGCCTAGATTCTGACTTTTCCCCTCTTACAGCCACACCCTTGCCAACCCAGCTGCTCTCTCAGTCCATCCTGAGCCCTCACCAACTAATTTCTAGAAGACAGTGGGACAGATCTGAGACACCCATCTCTCCATCTAGACCCTCCTCAGGGACCCCTAAGTCTGAGCCTCCACACAAAACACTGCTCTGGTAAGCTGGGCCAGGGTTGATGGTAAAGCCCCCAAAAGACTGGGGGAGGTGCCCTGGCCAGTGTGGCTTGGTTGGGGCACATGCTGAAGGCGATTGATCGATGTTTCTCTCCCTCTCTCTAAAATCAACTTTTAAAAAAAAAGGAAATCTTGCCTTTAAACAAGAGAGAGAGAGAGAGTGTGTGTGTGTGTCTGGGGAGCTAGGGCTGGCCTCACCTGCAGGGCATCCCGGATGGGGCCCCGGATGTCAATCACCTCGCCTTGACGGATCACAAATTTGGGGAGCTTGTTCAGAAACTTCTCAGGAGTCATCCTGGAACCTGTGGGGCGGGCAGTGGAAGCCTTAACAGGGAGGGACTGTGAGTGATGATGGAGGCGGCCACCTGGACCTTGTCCTGTACAGCACCCCTGCCGCCTGGCTCGGCCCCAGGGCCAGCCTCACCTGGGTGCTCCACCATGACTGAGGGCTTTCGAATCCTCTGCATGCCTGTCACGCGGCCCTCACCTGGGAATGGGTCCAGCCCATCCTCTTGGTAAACCTGATGGCGCAGGTCACTCACCTGACAAGAAGGAAGGGAGACAGCGGCGGCAGGACCAGATCTTCAGTGCTGGCTCCACCCCTATCCCTGCTTGCCCAGGCCCCAGGAATAGGCCCAAGGGATAGTCTGATTCAACCCCTATTTCACAGGTATGGAAACTGAGGCTCTGGGGCAGAGCAAGAGTTGTAGTTCATGCTACTGCATATATGGGCCCTTCCTGCAAGCCCTCACTGGAGCCACGGTCCTGACATCCTCTTCAGAAGCCCCTTTTGGGAGCCTGCAGGGAGGGATGAGGGTGTTAGGACAGGGCAAAGCCTTTGCTGCCTATAGTTTGCAGTGCAGACCCCATCATTGCACATATCACCTCGCTTGTCCCCATGCAGGCACACCTCCTGAGCCCCTGTCTTGACATGGACCCCGGATCATGACTCCCACTATTTCCAAGCCATGGTGGTACACACTCCCTCACATGCTCTCATTGTGGAACTGACACCACCCTCTGGGACATGTGCTCCCATCACAGCGCCTTTCATCTTACACACCAGCAGGGACCAGCTCCATCTCGTGCTTTAGCCCCAATATATTCCTCTGCCCTGCCCCTCCCCCCACAATGGCACTACCTTCCATCCCAATCAGATGGCTCCCGGAGCCTCTAGGGGGAGCCCAGCTACTTTTGCACAGACTCCTCAGGGACTCCAGGCAGTCAAGTTGTTCCAAATGCTGGGGGAGGGGCAGTGGTTGAGGACTGTGCCTTCAGAGTGCCAGCAGGGGGGCACTGCCTGCTGCTCAGCTACTGGCTGTCTTGGCTGCTGCTATGTCAACTGTGGCCATGGCCGCCTCCCCACTGAAGTTCATCAGATTGGGTCCCCTGAAGTGGGGCATCTGCTTCAAGACTCAGACTGGGTGATGCCTGAGGAAACTGTTTATCCCCACCACCTCCAAAATCCCCACTTAGGGAGTAGCTGACTGGTTTGAGGAGAAGCAGCTCATCACCTTAAAGGGGACCCCATTAGGGTACAGACGCTGGAGCTCTGCAGGAAAGAAGCCATCCAATATGTCTCGGAGGCAGCTCTATAGCGGGGAGAGGAAAGGTAAGGACTGGGCCTCAGGCTTACCCAGTGGATCATACTCTGGCCCAGGACTTGGCAGAGGTGGGGGTGGGGGCTCTGCAAGTTTTGCATAGGACTGAGTGCCCTTAGGGGGTAAACTGGGCCCCATCTCCAACTAATGATAAACAGGGTGGGGAGCACCAGAGGACTGTCTTCCCTTCCCCCAACTCTTACCTGTGTGGAGGGATCATGGAACGATCGGAAGGGCCCATCAAATATCATCATGCCGTTCCGGTACAGCTTCAGTGGGATGGGCTCAAGATCATGGAGCTGTGCTCCACCGGGCATGGGTGTCACCTGGGTGTCACTGCCTACCGCCAGCTCACTGAGGTCCTGCAGGCTGGCCAGCAGCCTATCAAAGTCCACTTCAGGGGGCACCAATGAATCAGCTGCTAGAGAGGACAGACACCCATGAGCCTCTCTTCTTGGCTGCCATGTGCCCTAGCAGCCCTGGCTCCCATGCCCTCTTCCATGATGAGCAGTGGCTTTAGCATCTCAAGTGACCACCTGGGGAGGAGGAAGGACAACTAACACTAGATAATAATAGCTATCTTCTATTGAGCACATACTTTTTATTATTATTGATTTCAGAGAGGGAGGGAGAGGGAGAGAGAGATAGAAACATCAATCATGAGAGAGAATCATTGATTGGCTGCCTCCTACACACTACACTGGGGATTGAGCCTGCAACCTGGGCATGTGCCCTGACCGGGAATCGAACTGTGACCTCCTGGTTCATAGGTCGATGCTCAACCACTGAGCCACGCCGGCTGGGATATTGAGTGCATACTTTGTGCTAGGGGTTTAATATCTACTATTCCATTCTCTCTTCCTCCCAACCCTGTGCTGTAGAGCTATAATCAGCCCCATTTTTCAGATGAAGAAACTGCAGGTTAGAGAAGATTGATGGCATGCTTAGGGAAGCACAGAGTAAGTGGCAAGAGCAGGATCTGATCTGTCCAGGTGCTGGGTTAGCAGCTGGATTCCAAGATGACCATGTAAGGACTAGCTGGGAACAAGCACTCTGTCCATGTTAGCTATTGTTACCAGCGCTACCTTGCAAAAAAATGGACCTCAGGCCAACCCAGAGGCAATGAGGCAGGGGTTATTTATCTCCATTTTACACATGAGGAAACAGGCCCACAGAGACAAAAAATGACTTGCCCCAGGCCCCCAGGCAAGTTAGAGGAGGGGCTGACTCTAGGGCAGCGGTTCTCAACCTGTGGGTCGCGACCCCTTTGGGAGTCTAACGACCCTTTCACAGGGGTCGCCTAAGACCATCCTGCATATCAGATATGTACATTACGATTCATAACAGTAGCAAAATTACAGTTATGAAGTAGCAACGAAAATAATTTTATGGTTGGGGGGTCACCACAACATGAGGAACTGCATTAAAGGGTCGCGGCAGCCCTGGCCGGTTTGGCTCAGTGGATAGAGCCTCAGCCAGAGGACTGAAGGGTTCCAGGTTCGATTCCAGTCAAGGGCATGTACCTTGGTTGCGGGCACATCCCCAGTAGGAGGTGTGTGGGAGGCAGCTGATTGATGTTTCTCTCTCATTAATGTTTCTAACTCTCTATCCCTCTCCCTTCCTCTCTGTAAAAAAATCAATAAAATTTTTTTTTTTTAAATAAAGGGTCGCGGCATTAGGAAGGTTGACAACCACTGCTCTAGGGTCTGTTTCTCTCACCCACCTGCACTATGAGGAAAAAGAGGACAGATGGCTACTAAGGAAGATGTCTAAACAGCTGCTGGGCAGAACAGATGTGGGGCAGATCGTGAGTTGTGCAACTATTTCTGGGTCACAGACCCTCTGAGAAGCTGACAGAAGCTCTGGCCTCCTATTCTGAAACACTGTGTTGCACATACAGCTGTGCATAAGCGTCAGAGGGTGCAGAAGGGGCGGTGGGACACCCGTGACAGGTGCCAGAGCAGAAAGGGCAGAAGGCAGGGGCCTGTTCTCAGTCCTTGAAAGGACCTGGTTCCCCAGTAAGTCACTACTAGCGTGCAATCCTCACCAAACGGTGACTGTTTGGGCCTTCTTGGAAGCTGTTTTTCACCAGGACAGCCACCCTGTCACAGGATGTGGGTCAGGGCTCCGGGGACCTAATTCCTTTCCCCACAGTGGTACAGTGGCTACACCGGGGGAAGTACAGATGTGGGTGGCCATTTCCTGTTGCCTTTGTGCTGTTGAAACAGTAGGCTCCTGGTGTCCGTCCCCTCCCTCTCCTTACATTCCCTACTGTTGTAGGGGCTGCACTGCTCTGGCTCGTCCTGGAGTCCCTGAGACTCCCAAGGAAAACTCACAGAACACAGCACCCCTGCTATGAGTCAGAACCATGTCAGGACACTGTTTTCCTTTAACAACTACTCTCAGAACACATTGGTAAACCTACAAATGACAACAGAAAAGCTCATCTTCAACGTCTCCCTGGTCTCTATATTCTTACAGGGGGGGAAAGTGAGGCCTAGAAAGATGAGGCCAAGACGACTTGGCCCAAGCAGACCCCACCAAGCAGGGCCAGGCGGACCATCAGATCCACTGCCTGATAATCCAGCTGCCTCCTGGGACCAGAGGGCTTTTTCTGGGAGCTGACAGGACATGGGGTGTTTGCCAGGGAAGAGGCAGGCAGAAGCCCAGGGGAGGATGCTAAGAAGATATGAGAGCGAGTCCCGCCGGTGTGGCTCAGTGGTTGAGCATCGACCCATGCACCGGGAGGTTATGGTTGGACTCCTAGTCAGGGCACATGCCCAGTTTGGGGCTGGATCCCCAGTAGAGAGTGTGCAGGAGGCAGCCGATCAATGATTCTCTCTAGAATTGATGTTTCTATCCCTCTCCCTTCCTCTCTCTGGAATCCATAAAAACATCTCTAAAGAAATAATGAGAGGGAGAAGAAAAGTTTGCTGAGAAAATCACTCTAACATGTCTCAGCCCGTGGGCTCGTGAGTGGAGAAGTGAAAGCAGGGCGGGCAGGGCAGGTCCTGGGTGAAACACAGCACAGGTGAGGCAAGGAGTCCCTGAGGAGGAACCGCAGCTTTGGGCAATGCAGGGCTGAGAGGATAAGACAGGAAGAGCCTGTCATAACCAACACACAGCAGGCAAAAGCTGACCCAGTGCAGCCAGGTCACCAGGGATAAGGCGGGTCAGGGGTCAAGTGAGGCATTTCCTCTCTGAGCTGCAGCTTTCCTCTGCGTGGAATGGACAGATAATGGGAATCCTCATCCTACCCACAAAATCCAACTGTCTACAGAGATAATGACTGTGTTGTGTTCACATCAAGCACCAGAGGCAGGTCCGCCACTCCTGTTCTGCAGATGAGGAAGCGGGGCCTCCTGAGGCAACATGCCCAGGGCCATGCAGCTTGCAGGATCGGGTGCCGCTAAGCCTTTGTTCTCAGCGACCACTCGCTGCCTCTCAGTGTTGGTTCTTCGGACATTGCTCACTGGGGTCCCTTTCCAAGGAGAGGTGCAGCAAGATCATCTCTGAGGCCTCATTCAACTTTGAGGGCCCATGGTTTTATTAAAAAGGGTCGCAGGTAGGCATGGAGAGCAAGTCCAAACTCCTTGGCCCAACTCTGGGGACCTTCGGAGCCTGGGCTCCCCAGACTCCTCAGTGTGGTCTCCCTGCATGCTCTGGAGCCACAGTGCCAGGGCTCCTGCTTCCAAGCTGTGTGGCCCTGGGCAAGTGGGCCAGCTTCTCTGGGCCTCAGTTTCCTCTTCTACAAAATAAGAACAATCACAGTCCCACCGCACAGGGCTGTTTGAGGAAGTGGTGGCAGGTGCTGTTGTGTCACGGGCCCCCATCCTCTTGCTCACTGCGGGGCTCAGGGTGCTCTTTCACCACCTCCTTGCCGGAAGCCCCTTCCCCTGAGGCTGGGCCCCGGTTCCTCAGGTTCCTGAAGCCCCTGAGCCACTCCCTTGCCCTTGTCACAAGTGTCACAGGCTGTTGTCATTTGGTTTGACTTTCCAACCACACCAAACGCTTCTTTTTTTTTTAATCTTCACCCGAGGACATGTTTTTACTGATTTGAGAGAGAGAGCAAGAGAGGAAGAGGAGGAAACACTAATGTGATATCGAAACATCAATCAGTTGCCTCTAGCAGGTGCCCTGACAGGGGCTCAAACCTGCAACCAGGGTACGTGCCCTGACCAGGAATCGAACCCGTGACCTTTTGGTGTGCAGGAGGACGCTCCAACCAACTGAGCCACACCGGCCAGGGCCCAAACACTTCTTGAACCCAGGCTAGAGCATCCAGCCTGGGCCTGGCCAAGAGAGGCTGCTCAAGCAGCAGCTCAGAGAACATGCTAGGCCCAGAGAACCATGGCTATGCCTATACCCAGAGTCCTGCCCTCCCTGGGTCCATACTTGAGTGAAGGAGACGGGGTGACAATGGCATTGATAAGTGCCATTGTCGGGGCTACAGAGCCCAGAGGAGGGCCAGACCCTGTCACTATCAGCAGGTGAGTGGTGGGCCTGCATTGAGCTTTTTCTTCGCACCTTCGCTGGGAGGACCAGCTGCTGCCATGAAAGACAAGGTAGTGCCCAGCATGTCCCGTCTCCACCTCAGACTGTTGAACAGGAAATGGGCCCACTATTTCCACAAACCTGCAAGTCACGCCCTGCTCTGGGGACTTGACCCACATTCACTGCTCGGCCAGGGCCACCCCCAAATCTCTGGCCCCGGCTGTTGAGCATCGCTGTCGGCTTCTCCCAACGTGCTCTGATCACCCAGGCCTGGGCACCCGGGCACCACGCACGAAGCACATGCGTGTGAGCATGCCAGGCTCATGGGCAAAGCACTGTGCTGAGCGCTCCAGGGCATCGCAAAGCTAAGCAACAATTGGCTCAACGTCATTGTCCATCTACCAAGTGTCAGCCAGCAGAACACTCCACATGCACTGTGGCATTTGATGCTCTCGGTGGCCTAGACGTCAATCATTCTACCGATGAGGACTATAACGCACAGCCCCTTCCCACATGCCCAGGGGCAGCTGCAGGCGGCACAGTGCCTGGCACAGAGCAGGCACTCCATGGGCATTTGTTTAAGCTGAGCCTCAGAGGGGAGAAAAGGGACAAGGCACTTCAGGGACACGGCACTGGCCTGAAGGGGAAGCGAGGGTGAAGAGGAGTGTAGGCTGCCTGGGGTCTAGGTAAGGCCATTTCCAGGGCCTCAAAGGCAGCCCAAGGACAAGCCAAGCTGCTGCAGCCCATGGAGTCAGTGTGGCTGCCTGAGCAGGGGAGGGAGGTTCCCACATAAACAAAGAGGCTGGGGTTTGGGAGAAAGGGTGGTAGGGGGAGGTGGTAGCTGGCAGGGGGGAGGGGGAGAGAGGGCAGGACTGGATGGGGGGGATGAGGAGCTCAGTGGGGGGTAAGGGTGGGGGGACTGATCAGAGGGGGTCAGGGAAGAGGATAGTGAGCTCAGAGTTCACTGGAGCTCTCAGCCCTGGGGCTCAATACCTGTTGTGACCAGAGTAGGACTGTCCCTTTCATGTCTCCGAATACCCTGAAGCGCCGATACCTGAGGCACCCGCAAGCATCCATTTGAGACTCAAATGCGGTTGGGGAGGGTGAATCATCCAGCCCCAGGCCAAGCTCTCCCAAGGCTTCCCCCCTGCTGGGCCCTCTTCCCTGAGGCAGGAGTCCAGGCTCTAGGACACTTGAATGAGCCCCAGTACAGATGCCCTGGCTCACCATTTACTGGCCAGCTGCCCAGGCCTATGGGACCTGGTGTCCAACCTCTGGAGGGAGAGCCAGAGCAGCAGGGCCGGCAAGAGGCCAGCTGTGTGGATCCGAGGGGCCCTTGGGGGGGGAGCAGGCTGGCACCTGGGACAAGGCAGTGGAGGGGGGGATGGAGAGGAGCCGGGAGGGGAATCCCAGGAGCAAAAGCTGCTATAAGTGAAAAACTTGGTGTTCATTTGGCAGAAGAGCCGAATGGAGCAACAACCTGAAGAGAACAGGCCTGGCTTTCAGAAACGGCCAGTTCGTTCTACGGTCCCAGTCCCAAATCCACGGGGAGAATCCCTCTAGATATTAGCAATTGAATTAAAAATAAAAAGTGGTGCCTTGGCCAGTGTGGTTCAGTGGTTGAGCATCAACCATGAACCAAGAGGTCACCGGTTCAATTCCCAGTCAGGGCACATGCCCAGGTTGCCAACTCAATCCCAGCAGGAGGCAGCTGATCGATGTTTGTCATAGATGTTTCTATCCCTCTATCCCTCTCCCTTCTTCTCTAAAATTTAAATATATATTGGTATATATATATCAAAAAATGTTTTTTAAATAAAAAGTGGTGTGCCCTAACTGGTTTGGCTCAGTGGATAGAGCGTCGGCCTGCGGACTGAAAGGTCCCAGGTTCGATTCCGGCCAAGGGCATGTACCTTGGTTGCGGGCACATCCCCAATAGGAGGTGTGCAGGAGGCAGCTGATGGATGTTTCTCTCTCATCGATGTTTCTAACTCTCTATCCCTCTCCCTTCCTCTCTGTAAAAAAACAATAAAATATATTTTTAAAAAATTGGTGTCCTGGCCGGGTAGCTCATTTGGTTAGAACCGTTAGAGTGTCATCCCAATACACCAAGAATTAACCAATGAATGCATAAATAAGTGAAACAACGAATCCATGTTTCTCTCTCCTCCTTTCTCTCTCTCAAATCAATTTAAAAAATAAAAAAGTGGTGAGTCCCATAGAAGCAGGTGGCTTTCAATGGTCTGGCTATGAATGAACCTGGGAAGGGAGCCCAAGAGGGGGCTGAGCCTGGAACTGAGGGCCAGCTTTTAAAAGCAACAACTTCTGGATGGACGACATTTTGTAAACTATGATGCCTGAGAAAAATGAGGTCTTATTACATCTTGTGTCTCTGGGCCTTTGAAAGATGAACAAGCAGAGTCTGAGGGGAGACCAGAGGGAGAAAGTGGCGGCAGGCTAGGTGGTCAGTGATGGAGGCCGAGGCCTTTCCCGCCTGTCGGGTGTCAGGGGTGAGGTGTGGGGTGTCTCAGGGCAACTGTGCGTGGAGGCGGGGGCAGGAATGAGCCGGCCTCTGGATGCTTCCGGCCAAAAGGAAGCTGTTGGAGAATTCCCTTTGTGGGAGGGGTTGGGTGCACCCCTACTCTACCTGGCTTCCAGAACTTCTTGGCTGTCATCCAGGCCCTGTCATCCTCTGAGCTTGTCAAGTCCTCCGAGTCCTCACGGTCGCTGGGCTCGCCCACCCACTGCAGACCATAGTCACCGAGGAACCGCTGGAGGGGGAGATGCGGGGGCACAGTCAGCTCAGTCCCTTTCCAGGAAAGAGGCGGCATCGGCCCAGTCCCCGGCCTCAGGCCTCAGCTCCCAGAGCTGGCTGGGCAGAGGGGGTGGGCGAGGGGTCTTGGCCACTTTGTGGCTGTAAACTTGGGAAGCCACGTGACCTCCTAGGGCAGCGGTTCTCAACCTGTGGGTCGCGACCCCTTTGGCGGTCACACGACCCTTTCACAGGGGTCGCCTAAGACCATCCTGCATATCAGATATTTACATGACGATTCATAACAGTAGCAACATTACAGTTATGAGGTAGCAACGAAAATAATTTTATGGTTGGGTCACAACATGAGGAACTGTATTTAAAGGGCCAGGAGGTTGAGAACCACTGTCCTAGAGCCTCAGGGTCCTCCTTACACAGCGGAGGTGACAGCACCTGCCCAATAAGCTTGTGAGGAGGACTCAGCAAGGTAATTCACATCAAGTACCCGGCACAGTGCCTGGCACAAGCACTCCGAGGGCAGCCGTGATGGCGGTGGGCAGCCATGTGGACCCGGCCTGAGTGGGATGAGGGCAGGACCGGGAGGATGCCGCCACCCACACACAGCCTCCCTAGGGCTGGGTCTCACAACTCTGCCACAGGAAAACTTTTGAATTGTCCACACTTCCTGCTGCTAGTTCCTCATCTCCCTTTCTCTCCTCAGCCCATGGCTCAGGTGCAGCTTCCACCAACCTGCCCGGCCCCAAACCCAGTGGGCACATTTCCGGCTTCACCTCTTGTAACACAGGCGGTTCCTTTTCAGTTTCACATTTCCAACCGTCCCCACTGAGACGTCGAACAGGCATCTCAAAATGAACTTGACCCAAACGGTCACCACTCCCCGCCCCCACCTCCCCACCTCCTCCCCTCCAGGCTTCTGCATTCGGCCAACAGCACCCCCCACCTGGGCCTCATCCATGGCCGCAGGCAGCTCAGATCTGTCCACTCCACTGGTCTCCTCTGCTGCCACCCTCGTCCGAGCCTCGGTCAGCTCCCTCCTGGACAATTCGGGCTGAGCTTCTACCTGCCCCCCTCCCCCACCCCCTCCTCTAACTGAAACCTTCCTGTGGTTCCCCATTCCTGCAGAACAGAATCCAACCGGCTCTGTGGCTGAGCCCCCCGCGGCCATGTGATCCCCACAGCTCGTCCGGCTCTCCCTCTTGCTCCCGCAACCACCCACCATGAGCCAAGTTTCTACGGTGGGAGGTGGAGCTGCTCATCTCTCCAGCCTGGATTCTCTTCCCCTGAGGTCCCCTCACAACCTCTAGATCTCTTGCCCAAGGTCACCCGCAGAGTGGACCAAATCTCTCTTGTGTCACCCACTGAACAATGTCATCAGATCTGTGCACTTGTGCACCTTCCTGTGCACTTGTCTATTGTCTCTGTCCCTTCCAGACTCTCAGCCTCATGGGGGCGGGACCACATCCACCTCCCAGTGGCTGGGAAAAAGGGGATACTTGGTATGAGTTGGTTAAGTTAATGAAGCAATAAATGTGCGAATGATATGAACAGAGGGGCTGCCATACCCTCGCCCTGTGGCAGCTGCTCAGAGAAGCCCACAAGCCAGGTCTGAACAGCCTGGGGGAAGGGCGCGCAGCTGCGGCAGGGCCTGTGGGTTTGCTGCTGCCGCCTGAAATCAGGTTGGGGCTTTGGAAGCCAACCCTACAGGGAGAGGGAGAGGTTCTGGTGGGGCCCTGACAAAGCATTTCCCCCAGGACCCTCCCTGACATGTGGGTCCCCCCTGTGTGAGCCTTGCTGTATGAATGGGGCAAGGAAAGTGACACGGGGTGACTGAGATGCCACGTTCAATTCAGTGAACACATATGGCCGGTATCATGCTAGGTCCTGGGCGAAAGCAATGAACAGGAGGGTGGAGTTCGAGGTCCCCTAGGGGGAGGGAGGAGAGAGATGAGGCACGAAGGAAGCACAGGACACAGCCTGCCCTGCTCAGTCGGGGAGGGGCTCCTGGGGGAGGGCCCTGCCTTGATTTGAGACTGAGGATGAGTGGAACCTCGCTAGGGGGAGGTGGGGAAATATTTCAGGCAGAGGGATCAGCATGGGCCAAGGTCCTCAGGTGAGAAACTGCTCAGTGTAGTCCAAGAACCAGAGTCAGGGCCCACGGCTGGAGGGGAGTGTGGTTCAAGGTGAAACTGAAGAGGAAGCCCCGGCCGGAAGGAGTGTGCCCCACCCTGGACACCTTTCTGGCTCCCGGTTAGCCCTGCGGAGGGAAACCAGAGCAGGGCCGGGCGCGGGTGTGGCGAGGGGCCAGAGAGGTGGGCTCTGACCCCGTTCCTGAGGGCAGACAGCCCTGGCCACTGCCTCTCTCACCTCCATCTCCCCGACCTGCCGCCGCAGATGCTCGCACATGGTCTCCAGCTCCTCCTGCCGCTGCAGGGACATCTTGCCTTCAGGAGAGATGGGGAGGGGTTCCGCTGCCCCAGCATGGAGGCTGCCAGCCTGCCTGGACCAGAGCTCTGCCCTGAGGGTCATCTGAAGAAGCTGCCCCTTGAGGACTCCGGGGAATCCCCTGAGAATGGCCTCGAGCCCCTCTCCCTGACCCTGACAAGGGCGGCCCTCCTGACCCCGAGGAGGTCGCCTGAAGCGAGGCTGCTGAGGCTGCGCCTGCACTCGGGGACTCAGTCCCGCGTTGGAGGGCACCATCCCAAAAGCATCACTGCCCCCTGGGCTCAGCTGTCCAGGCCTTGGGGCCCAGGGGAGGTACAACAGGATGGCCGAGCAGCCCCTGAGAGAGCCTCTTACTCTTCTGCTCCTGGAGGATCGCCACCAGTTCCTCGAGGGACTGTATCTTCTCATCCTGCAGCAACAAGACGGGGTGGGGGGTGGGGAGCAGGCAGGCCTCGTGGTTCCAAGAGCCCAAGGGAGCCCGTTCCAGAGGGAAGATCTGGAATTTGTGTCTCTGTGGGGGCACCGGGGAGCTTAAAGCCCTTTCCCCCCTTTGGCATAACCACTGCTCCTGCACCTCAGATGACCCTTGAGGTGCCACCGAGGTAGGGAAAGGTGTGGAGGTCCCCTGAGTGCCCCAGAACTCTGAGGTCTATGGGCCTTGCCCAGCTGTGGAGAACACCCCTAGCCTCTCTACCCAGGTCACAGGGACCCACCAGGCTCAGGCCACACCTGGCCCTCAACTGGGCAGTTCAGTGTGGGCAGTTCAGGGTAGAACCCACCCACCCTGACCTACTGCAGTAGTAGCCTCATTGGTCACACCAGCCTGGACCCCCCCACCCTTCAGACCGGACCCTGGCCGTGTCCCCACGGGGGTCCCACCTTGGACAGCATCTGGTTGTTCTGGTCCTTCACCTGCTCCTCCAGATCCTGCACCTTCCTTGCCATGGTGCTCAGCAGCTCCCCATTGTGGGTCCCAGCAGCTGCCAACCAGACAGAGTCCTAGAGCCCATGCCTAGGGCAGAGGCTGAGGTACGGGGGTCCTGGGAGGGGGAGAGGGATCCCCAGGAGTGGAAATAAGAGTAATAACAACAGCTGCCACCTAGGTAAGAGGGGCCACTCCAAGCGCTTTCACATGGCAACTGTGCAATCCTTACAACATGCCTCTGAGGAAATGAGCTGCTGTAGGAAACTGAGGCACAGAGAGATTCAGTAATTTGTCCAACGGTACGAGCGGCTGCTCTGAGGAGGGAACAGCAAACCGTGTGGACTGTTGCTGTGCACAGAGGCGAGAGGACAGGTGAGCCCTGAGGGCACAGGCACTGGTGAGAAGTGAACGGAGAGCAGTGACCAGCGCTTTAAGTGGAGGAGCTGCTCGCTGTGATTACGGAGTGTCCCCCGCTGGGAGGACACTGGCTTTGTGACCGAGTGGCTGTGGGGCCAGGCCCATGCTGCCTCCTTTTCCATCTCAACTCCCCTCTCCCCACCATTTAAGTGGACGGGTGTTTGGTGAAGGATCCCCTCAGCGAATCCTCACCTCAACGTGCTGACCGGGGTGTCCCCATGCCCAGTTCACAGAAGACGGGATGGAGACGCAGAGAAGGAAGTTGCCTCTCTGAGATACACAGCTAGTGGAGGATTCTAACTGCATCCCAGTTCCTACAGACTCCCAGCTCCGCCCCTGTCCCTGCCCAGAGCTCCGCCCAGCTCCTCCCGTCTGCAGGTCTCCCCTCTGCCCGGCCTGATCCATCCTACCTCCTCTGGAAAGGTGCCCTGATGAGCCCTGTCCCCCTTTAGGCATCTACATGATCGCAGTGTCACCAAGCCCCCTGGGGATGGTGTGGACCAGGCGAGGAGGGCTACCTAGGGGACTTTGGGCCTTGCCCAGAGCTCTGCAAAGCAGGAAGCAGATAGCTGAAGGCAGAGCTTCACCCTCAGGCCCTTCACTCCTCTGACCCTGGATCCTGGACGCGCTGACATTACACTTGATGGTGACTCCAGCCAGGTTCACTCCAGAGGCACTAGCCACAGCCTGGCCTGGGGCGTGGCCACACCTCCTGAGCTAAGAGTGGGGCCCACTTAGCTTTATGCCAAACCCGGCTCTGGACGGGTCTGGGGAGGCAGGCCCATGGCCATGGTCAGCCAGAAATGGGAACAGCTGTCTCAGATCCAGCAGGCGGGGAGCAGGTGCATGCCCCTCTGGGCCTCTCTCTTCTGGGGCCCTCTCCTGCTGCTGGGAACCCAGACCCCTTTGGGCCTCTGCTCTCACCTTGCCTACCCACAGGAGCTCCTATGCCACCATAGCAGGAAGGGACAGAGAACGATTCTTCTGAGCCTTGTCCATCATTCAGCACGTTCACTGCATCTTCTGCAGACACAGATGCCCAGGTCACTGCTGGGGCTAAGGCCCAGAGCAAGCTGGGGCCCTGGATTCTGTCCCCCCAAACAAATGAGGGTAGAAAACGGGATGTTGGCAAGCACGGATCCAATGAGAACAGGCCTCTTCCTAGAGTTCTCCCAGCCTGGCTCCTGGGGGACCACGGTGGGGGCAAGAGTGGGGTTGAGATGCAAAGATCTGAGCCTGCAGGAGTCAGAGTAGTGATGTGAGGACAGGGGTTCCGGGAGAAATGGGTATTAGGGGCTGGAGGTGGCTGTTTGGGGAAGGAGGGTGGGGTTTGGCCCCCTCTGGATTCTCAGCACTCACCAGTCAACCCCAAGGTGGGTGGAGGGGTTCCAGTGTTAGGGATGACCTCTCTGCTAGGGGTGTGGGGCCTCCTACTGAGAGCTGCCCAGAGGAAGCCCTGCCCTCAGGAGGGGTGGGAGCTGCCGGTAAAACCGAGGCTGGGCCAGCTGCTCTGGCTGACAGAAGTCTTTATCATGCTTTCTCTCCATCTGCCCAACCCCAAGAGACATGGCAGACGGGAGGTGAGGAAGACACGCGGGCAGAGCCCTCACTTACCGTTTCCGTAGAGTTTTATCCCTCGCCTTCTGGGAATCCGGGCAGGAAGGAGAAGGAAGACAGACACGTTAGGACCCCCTGGAATGTCATCGGGGAGAGGCCCTGGGCACCAAGCCCCCAGCCAAGCACGAAGGTGATGGAGGGTGGGCCTCTGCCTCCTGAGGACATCCACCCGCCAATCCCACGCTGGCACTGGGACGAGCAGGCTTCAGGGTATCCACCTCCGCCCAGCAGAGAAGGATGGGAAGAGCTGGAGGGCAGAGTCTTGGGTGGAAGACAGAGTCCTGTAGTCAAGGAGCCCAGCCCCAGCTCTGCTTTGAAATGGTGTGGGACCCCAGGCCTCCCACTCAACCTCTCTGGATCCCCTTGGTCTACGGATGATTCAAGTGCTGTTCACAAGAGCAAGGAAGTTAAAAAAAAATTATTTGGTTCGGTCAGTGGCTGATCGTCGACCTATGAACCAGGACAGATTCCCCGTCAGGGCACATACCTAGGTTATGAGCTCTATCCCCGGTGTGGGGTGGGCAGGAGGCAGCCAACCAGTGATTCTCTCTCATCATTGATGTTTCTATCTCTCCCTCTACCTTCCTCTCTCGGGGGGAAATATATTTTCTTTGGAAAGATGAAAATGCTAGACAGATGTAAAGAATTCCCTTTACCGAGAGCCCCGCACACGGCAGGGCCCAGAACAGGTGCACCACCAGTGTTTGCTAAGCTACTCGCATGGAGCCCAAACCTTACTAGAGGGCACAACCCACTGTGCGCTTAACACAACGGAGAGCCTCTCAGAGGTAGAGAAGGATAAGGTGGTCAGGGAAAGCTACGTGACTCCTCATTGCCCTCCCAAGACACCAGGAGTCATTCTTCTTGTCCATGGGAGGAGCAAGGAGGAGGCAGAGGCGTGGACACCAAGGGCCCAGGGCCCAGCCTCCTACCCTGAGTTCACAGGCTCCGACAGCAGGGGCACCTTCCGGGTCTTGCCAAGGGAGGACAAAGGTGAGCTCATAGTTCTTCTAGATCTTAGTTGTCAGGAACTCCCTGAGTAGAAAAAAAGAAGTCAGACCGAAGGGTTATGGGTTCTATTCCCAGTCAAGGGCACATGCCTGGGTTGTAGGTTCGATCCCCCGGCCCAGGTCGGGAAGCAACCAGTTGATGTGTCTCTTCTTCTGTCTCTGTCTCTCTTTTTCTCTCCCTCCTACCCTCCCTTCCACTCTCTAAAAAAGCAAAGGAGGAGATATCCTTATGTGAGGATTAACAAAGGAGAAAAAAAGAAGTCAGCCCTTGGAGTCACTCCCTCAGGACCAGGAAGGGAAACTTTCTCTTCCTTGGTTACGTTCCCAGAAAGGAACACCACCCAGGGGGGATCGCCTCACTTCTTCCCACTGCTCCTGCGGAGGATTCTGGAGGCAGCTGGGCCTCAGGACCCTGTGATTAACATCCACCCGCTCCCCCAGAGACCCGCTGTCTGCTTGGAACCCAGAGGCCTCTGTCCTGGGAACAGGCATTGGGGATGGAGCAGGCTGCAGAAACGTGCCAGAAGCCTGGCACTTGCCCAAATTTAGAGCCCAGAAATGAGACTACCCAAGAGGCCTGGGGCTTTCGTCCATCCATCAAGGAGCTGGTCAACACAAAGTTTAAGTGTCCCCTCCCACCAGAGCCAAGGTGCTACCCCAACATCTCAGAGCCAGAGGGGGGCAACCCAAGGGCAGGACTCAACCAAGACATAGTCCACATGGCAGGGAGGTCAAGAAGCCAGGCTGCTGGCCCTGGCCAGGTAGCTTGGTTGGTTAGAGTGTCACCCTGATGCACCAAGGTTGCAAGTTCGATCCCCAGTCAGGGCACATACAAGAAGCAACCAATGAATGCATACGTAAGTGGGACACAAATCAATGTGTCTGGGTGTCTCTCTCCCTCTCCCTCTCTAAAATCAATAAATAAATTTTTTAAAAATTAAAAAAAAAAGAATCCAGGTTCTAGACAGGTTCTGTCATTCACCAGTATAACCCCCACCTCGGTTCCTTTGTATAAAGTGGGGATGGGAATAGCATCAGGGAGGATTACCCATGGGATTCAAAAATAACATACATATCACAGAGTTTTCATCACAATCAATTTTAGAGCATTTTCATTATGCTAATAAGCCCTAGGCACTGTGCCTTTAGTCCCTAAAACAGGCCTGCATAATCTCCCACCAGACCTGATTGTCCCTTCTTTCTCCAAATTCTCACCACCATGACCCCCTCAAAAGAAACTAGTCAAAAAGATAGAAATTGGGGTGGGTGGAAGTGGAAGAGGGCATAGAGGCAATTAATGGTGTTGGAAAAAATAAAATAAGACAGAAATTAAGTCTTGTTGAGGATGTAGGGAAATTGGATTGTAATTTGTGGGGCTGTAAATGGTGCAGCTGCTGTGAGAAACAGCATGCATTTCTTTAAAAGATTAAACACACTTACCTATGGCCTAGCAATTCCACTTCTAGGCATATACCCAAGAGAAATGAAAACTTATGTCCACACAAAAAATTGTATACATGTTCATAGCAGCATTATTCATAGCAGCTAAAAAGTGGAAACCCAAATGTCCATCAATCAATGAATGAATAGACAAATGTGGTATAACTTTATAATGGAATAGTATTTGACAATTTAAAAAAGGAATGAGGCCAGGCCGGCATGGCTCAGTGGTTGAACATTCATCTATAAACCAGGAGGTCACGGTTCTATTCTGAGTCAGGACACATGCCTGGGTTGCAGGCTCCATCTCCAGTGTGAAGCGTGCAGGAGGCAGCCAATCAATGATTCTCTCTCATCATTGATATTTCTATCTCTCTCTCCCTCTGCCTTCCTCTCTGAAATCAATTTTTTTTTAAAAAGGAATGAAATACATGCTACAAAGTGAATGGACCTTAAAAACATTATGCTGAGGGAAAGAAGTCAATCACAGAAGACTACATATTATTATGATTCCATTTATATGAAATGTCCAGAATGTGCATTTCATATAGCGACCAAGTAGATTAGTGGTTGCCTCGGGCTAGGGGCTGCTGTGGAGTAAATGGGAGGTAACTGCTAAAGGGTACAGAGTGTCCTTTATGGGTGATGAAAAGTTCTAAAATTCACTGGAGTGATGGTTGCACAACCCTATGAATATACTAGAAACTCCTGAAATTTACATTTTAAGGGAGTGAATTATATCTCAATAAAGCAATCATAGAAAAAAAAAAGGAGGGGGGGGAACCTGGTCCCCAAACCACACCCAGCATCTTTCCCCTTCTTAATGGGACCTCATCATCCAACCACAAAATTTTTCTCTCCTTCCCTCTTAATCCCATCCTATCAGGTACCAAATCCTGCAGGTAAAACTCCAATGTTTCTCACACATAACTGCTCCTTCCTATGCCCACTATTGGCCATTCTAGCGGGGCTTTCACTGCCCTTCTTTGGGGCTGTCACAATGGCCCACAATTTACTTCCCTTTTTCCATTCTCACTCCAGGCCAATCCAACAATGTCTCCAGATAAATTTTCCCAGGATTATAGGAGACCCCTGAGAGCAACGACTCTATCTTCCCATCAGTCTGGGCACTCCTGACCGCGGGGCTGTGTCTCCGATTCCCTCAGACCTGGGGTCCCTGAGGATAGAGCCATGTCACTTGGGGACTTTTCGGGGGCAAACTGTGTCTTCCTCGTCAGGCCTGGGACGCCTAAAGGTTGCACTGATTCCCCCTTAAGGCTTGGGCTTTGAGGGGAAAGCTGTGTCCTCTGCCTCTACACCTTTGGGACCCAAGTCAAGACTGTGCTTGACTGACATCTTTCATCACTACTCGACCTGTTTGTTGGCTCCCCCATGTCCGGGTGCCCCCAGTGCCTGTCGGCCCGCAAGCTGCACGCCAGCACTCCCTAGATCCCCAAATAATGTTCCATCATAAGGACATACCACATCTGTTTATTCATTCATGGACTGGTGGACATTTGGGTTTCCATTTTTTATAGTGCTCTCGGAGAGACCAATTTCATCACCTAACCCGCCCTGGGAGCCGCGCCGCCTCCTCCACGCGTGGCCATGGTAGGTAGGACCCGGATCCGCTCCCAGGACGCGGGGGGCCTGCTGGGGTGCCGCCCGCTGGGATAGCGGGGCGCTCGGTGCTCTGGGACGAGGTCC